AGGTGCCACCATCTCCGCTTGAGTCAATCTCGAGCCCACACATATTTACGTCTTCACAAACTCATCTCTGGTCATTTATGTCCACAAACATAGTTGCGCCAATTGTTTCTTGTTACATCACTGCTGATATACCTTCAATGATGGTTGAAAGTGAGCAAAAAAATGTGATAATTGTGTGAAATAGCCCAAGTGAAAGGTTTTCATGAAATGGCATCGATGGCATGGGAAGGCACCATTAATCCTGAAAGGTACATACCAGAATTGGACAATGCTGCTATCCAGGAAACATCTTTTTCATGGATGGCCCTGCTTATTTATCGAGACAATGCCAAACCACATTCCGCACATGTTACAACAGTGTGGCTTCGTAGTAAAAGACTAGACTAGCTACGAGACTATTCTGGTTTTATTTATGTTTAACACAACATCCCAACCTCATTGGAATTGGGTTTGTAGTTAAAGTCAATTGCTGCTTTTGAAAAAAAAACAACAAAAAAAAACAGTGATACAAATCACATCGTATGGACGTTTTACTTACGATAGGTCCATCACCATGCTCCAGGAAAGGTTGATGTTGGATGTGCACAATAGCAGGGAGAAGGTACTGGAGAACAAACAGGGAGTGTATATTTTAGTAAATCTCGGTGCTCAGTAAGCAATGACCAGGTTGCTTGTTTTTTTGGTCAGCAAAACATTTAGGTTGCACTGTCAGGTCCTTCTCAGACTACTGTAATTTGTAAAAATGTCTGGAGCCTTGTTACCAGCAAAACTACTTGTCTTTACATGCATTCAAGCGTCCTTCGGCGTCTTTGAACACCCAATATAAATGTAGTTGTTATGATATACGTACTGCGAGAGTTTTCCCAGAGCCAGTTTGAGCAATGCCAACCATGTCTTTGCCACTGAGAGCAACTGGCCAGCCCTGAGCTTGAATAGGGGTTGGTTCAATCCAGTTCTGTTTCATGATCACATCCATGACATAGTCTACAAAACAGGAAAGGCAAGTTAAATGCAAGCAGAGGTTATACAACCCTTGTGTTTTCCCCGGTCTTCAGTGTTGCAAACTTCCACTTCGGCCTTATAGGACATCAATTGGACATATAGTCATGGAAAAAATTATTAGGCCACCCTAATTTATTCAGTTTCTTGCTCATTTGAAATACCTCATGCAACTAAAAGGTATATTTGTTTGGATTAATGTAATGATGACAACAAAAAATACCTCATAAGAGTTTAAGAGCGGATGTTTGCCATTTTAACGTTTTTCTTCATAGTAACCAAAATCAATTAAGTTCTATACCAACAGCTACTGCATATGGCATTGTACTGCCAAAAACAGGGTTTCCAAGTTTTGGTTTCTGTGTGTTGGACACATTATACACCTTTAGTGGTGCCAGGCATTAAAATTAACAAGAAGTGTGGTTTAGTATTTTTATTCATGACTGTAGAATTAAGTAGCCATAGAAAAGCCTTCACACAATAAAATATTAAAGACTCAATTATTTGATGCAACAAATGCATTTTATTTTACTATGAATTTCTCTAGAATATATCTCTACATACCATACATAGTGTATTTTAAATAATAAACTCTTATTTGCCCCTATATTATCTCGGACCAAATACCCGTTTATGGCAGCTAATGCAAACCCTGGATTGAATGGGTTATCAGGAGGGCCCTAGAGAGACACTTTCAACTCACTTGGAAATGCCGCTTCATGGAACCTTGCAATTGGTTTGGGGCATTCTCTGCCTTTGACTGTAACTTCTTTGCTGCTTCTGTACTGTTCAACCTCTTGCTGGAAAGGGATCACAGATAAACAAGAATACACTGATGACTTGTGAGATCTTAGACTTGGGTACAGCCATTCATCCATTTTCAACAACAGCTTCTGTTCAGGGCCGCACGTGACTGGTAGCTTATCCCAGCGGACTTTGTAAAACGGAATATATGTACACCCTGGACTGAGCGCCAGTCAATAACATTGAAAAAATACACGCACATTCATGCTCAGTAGCAACCATTAACCTAGAAATTTAGTTTTGGAATGTGGGGTGAACGCACAGAAGCACAAGGAGAGAATGTCAAGTCATGTTCAACTCATGTGTATGGAAATGCAAAATGAAGGAGAAAAAAAAAAAACACAGCAAATGCTTACAAGCATTCTTCGGGTGACATCGGGGTGTTCCTGATAAAAGTCCTTTTGAAACTTGGGAAGCTCATCAAGGTTCCAGTGTCTCTTTCTTAGCCTTTCACCAGGGTTGCCAAACTTTGCTGGGGGAGGTCCACCCCTGCTGCCTCCACCACCACCACCACTTCCAAAACGAGGAGGTCCCCCACCATATCTAGTGAAGAGAAGACACAGAACCCATTTCTTCTATGTGGAAGTAAAACAATGGCTCTGCCTGAAGGGATAATACATCTAGTGGAAGCTGTCTCCCGACTCCTGACAATAGATGCCACACCATATGATTATCAAAGGGACACTTGAGTGGGAACACTGGCTGGCAGTTATATAATAGATGTGTTCGCGTGTGTGCAAAAATTATGTCAGCACAACCCCCCGCACCCCCAAAAAAGCTCAGTAGTGATTTAAAGCGTTTTTATGACTATATTCACCACATCTTGATGATTTTTTAATGGGCACAGACTGCTTTTTTGTATTTTATTTTTTAAATGTCAGCCTGACTAAGTCAATAAAGGAAGGAGGCAAGTGTAATTTTGTTTCCTGGCTTGCTTTGTCACATTCTGGTGTCACCTAACAACTGAAAATGCATATGCAAAGCTCTACCGTGGCAACTTCAACCTGTGAAAATATCTTAAGTGCTCGGCACAACATTTTGGATTTTATTGACATTAAATGTGAATAAGGCCATAAAGCCTTCATGTTTTGATAGCGTCATATTTCTCAATAGGCATCTATAAACCAGGCTACTTTCATTTTTGTTGCAGTTGCTTTGCAAATTTTAAAGTGAAATATTTTACTTTACCTTTCAATTTTTTTTTAACTATAATACCGGTATAACTATTCCTATTACATTTTTGACAGTGCAAAACTCGAAGTAATAAGACACTAATAGAGTTTTAAGTTGAAATTAAAATACAAAGTTGATGTACAGTAGCATCAATTTGCAGGAGCTAAACAGTGCAGCCGATCCCTTGAGGCCTTTTGCAGTGTCTGTGTGCATGATGTGACATGGAGAGCGACATCGCGATCAGACCATTAAACCTCAGAGCACAAATAAAGCTATCAAGTCTGGTCTGTGTTTCGCCAAGACGAGAAGCCGCTTCCTCGTACATCACGTCACGATTGGGTTATCGTGGTGTTGTTTTTTTCGCGTTTCTGCCGATAAGTGTGGCTAAATATCCACACCGTCCACATTCAGCCACCTTAACAGCACCTACGAACTAACATAGGTGTTTGACATGCCGCCCAGTATGTTTACTTCAACGAAGAAACAAACGAAGTAATTGTGAGGATGAGCGGTTCAGAATAACGATGGATGAAGGAATTAAAAATTGACGCTTCTTTTCACACCAGTGTAGCAAAAGGCAGGGTCCGACCCGAGCAGCCATTTGTAACGGAAAGGGGAAAGGAACAACATAAATTAGTAACTAAATAAACAAGCGGGCTACTTACCCTCTATCTCGCCCACGGTCTCTGTCTGAAAATCCCGGCATTATGATGTTGCACAATTTAGACTGTAAATAGAGCCGAACTTAAGATGTTCAATGGGTTTACAAGCCCGACGATGGCGGCTAACCACACACAGTTTGGCCGGTGGAAGGGACGGAAGTGACGCCACAGAAGGCGGTGAGTAACGTCTTATTGTGCGTAGGGCGAGCGCTAACGTGCTTTGCGCTTTTGTTTTGTTTTCAACGTTTATACAGAGGTAACGCAAGTAAAAGTAAAAAACATGGTATGAGTAAAATGACATATTCAACTCCGTATACGTTAAAAAGTACAGACAGAAAAATGCAGGAGGGAATAAGAAAACACATTTTTTAAATCATTAATTTTTAATCATTAATGAATCCTTTTCTTGCACGTTCGTGTTGTTCTTTGCAAAAGAACTTCAAAACAACTGGCATATTGAGTTGTTTTTTTTGTTACTGTTGTTTTCCATTCCTTACACTTTTTCCTGAGAAGGTGATCTGCGAGAAACGCTCTTAGCAAATGTCATGCTTATATAACAATCTAAACATTGTTTCTGAGCAAAGCAACATCACAGATGCCCATCAGGTGGCCATATTGATTTTTTTCTTCCCTTTTCCTTTTTATCTTGCATTTGTGGCTAGCACTTTTTTTCTGAACACGCATGCCAAATAACATGCTCGTATCAAAGTGCACAATTCAACTCCAAATCCACACTTACCTGCTCCACTTTTGTCACATGTATCTTAATCAGGAAGTAGCCTGCTAGTTGTTTTACACTGTATTCTACTCATAATTGGCAAAGCAAGCCAAAAGGATGGATCACAATGCAGTTACTGACAGCAAAACCGAGCCATCAAAGTGGATTTATTTTACAAAAAGAGTACACGAATGTAAAGTGCTACAAACTAAATACCGAAAAAAAAAACAACGACCAAAGGTCGCCGCAAAAAACAAACAAACAAAAAAACGCATACCTTAAGGAGCCACAGTGAGAGGAATGCACATGAGCAACAAACAAACAAAAACCCTGATCTAACATGCACAAGTAAGAAATGTGGAAAACAAAAACAAAAAAAAAAAAATCACATACTTATAAAAGACCAATAAACTGTCCGTCTTGCAGGGATAATACTGAGATCAGGTAACAAGCAAGACTAAACCGGGTCTATGGCAACAAGCAAGGTAGCAAGTAAGGCAATACTCGAGCGCCTTCCTTCCATTGAAACTGTTGTCACAATGAAACTTTACACCTGGCCCCAGAATCAAAAATGGTCCTGTCCTTTCCACTGTTGTTGATGTATAATTGAAGTCATCATGACGCAGTGAAGTTCTAAATTTTAACTTGACTTCATTAACTTGGTGTGCATAATGGGGTGGTTGTCAAGTAATTTTTTATTAGTATTTGGTCATCTGCATCTGTGCCTTGTAAAGGTTTCCATTTTATATCCAGTCATTATTGATGCCCAACATAAACAGTGAACATGAGAATATATGCATACATAGAGCTGATTTCTCTATTGTTCCCTTCCAATAGTAGTATTGGCACAAAACAAACATGTAAATGACATTTTGAAACAAAAAGAAAATGCAGTTCTTCAATATCCTGAGGATGGTGTCATCAGAAAGACAGAGATTCGAGTAGGTAGAGGGAAAAAAAACTCCAGCCGCATCACCTGAGAAGTGAGCTGTTCCAAAGACACTACACACACCTCCGTACAAAGTTCTTCAATTCTGAGACGGTGTTTCGAAGTGTGTCTCTTTCTCTCTGTAAAGCATTGAATCTTTCTTGTAATCTGTTGCAGCGATCTCCTGTTTTTTTGTCACAATCCTTGTGAGTCTCCATCACATGGCTCTGACTGGTTGCGCAAGTTTTATTGCAAGCCAAATGGAATCGTGAGGACCCTGAGGAAAAGGATTCAAATCAACTAGATCATCATCGAGAAATACAATCTAACATGAACAGTAGAATCCCCAATGCTGAACATTAGTCATTCCATGACACTGTTATAATTTCAAAACAATTTGGTGGAATTTGGTCATTTCTGCCTCGGTTCTGAATTTGAATTTCGGCTCCGACCTTGCTGGAGTTTGCGTGTTTGCCCTATGCTTGTGTGCTCTGGCTCCCTTAGACATTCCAAAAACATATATGTCAACTGGGATAGGCTCCAGGTCAACCACAGCCGTTCATTTTGGGGCTCCATGAATAATATAACACATCAGGGGCCACCACGGCAATTCCACAAATTTAAAATTTCATCACTTTTCTACCGCTGACTGTCATACCAGTATAATGACAGTTTAAAAACTGTTTAATGGAACTACTCACCCTTTGAAGATATCTGATAGTCATATATTGGGGAGGGAACAGCTAGGTGTTTGATTACAGACCAATACTGACACTGGCGTTTTTATAAGGATTACTGGAATTAAGTGAGCGTTTGTTGGCAGGCAGCAAAAGAGCACATCCTGAACTTACTGGTTGTTAAGTCAGAATTTACTGTTTAAGTGATTGCAGTGGTGAAAAGTAACCAAGTTCAAATACTTTGTCGGATCTATAAGTCAATAGGTCCATCTTGAGTATTTTTGACAATATTTTTTACTTATACTGGCTACATTTGAAAACGATATGAAAAAAATATCTTCTGTGCTTTCTACTTCTTAGTCAAAATAGGCTCGTTATATTTTTTACAACATCTCTGGATGGCAACGTTGCGAAAAGAACAAACCCTCCGACCCCCAACCCCTGACTTTAGCCACATAAAGTCACAAAAAAAATCGCCGGTAAAACAGAAGAGTAATGTTCAGGGCATGTAGCCCGCATGCCATAAAGTATGTTGCATTACCTTTTCATGATCACCGGGTCAGTTCAGAATGCAAGTTTTGTGATGATGGCTCCAAAGCCAAATCAAAAATTTGTTTGACTTTTGAAGGACATTTTCTTGCCAATTATTGTTTAATTCCAAATCCGACTATTCTTGGGACGTTCACCTTGGTTTTCACTGTAATGTTTAAGGTTTCATTCTCAGTCAATTTGAAGTTTAAAAATGTGCACTTAAATACCAAAGAATGAGCAGTCTACTTACAGGCAAGGCGTAGAGAAACATTGAGTGTGACTTGGAGGACACACCCAAGGCCGACGATTAGGAGAAGTAAATAACATTTTCTTTGTTGTCCTAAATGGATACATACAAGAACAAGCTGCTAGTTGCAAAGACTCAGGTCTTAATGAATTATGTATTTTGCAGGAATGCAAATACTTGATTCATAAAGTATGAATGAATATTTCCCATCAACATGAATTACATAATATGTACAGAAACAGTATTCAGCATCTTCCAGTAAGATTGGATAGTCGATGACTTTACCAAATTCACGCACAAGAAGTCATGGGACTTAAAGTCCAAAAATGATGACTGGATTACCTTTTAGATTTGCATCCTCACTGGATATCTGCCGTGGCATCTCTAATAACGGATTCCCCTTTTCGGTGACATACCATGTTTGTATTTGAGAGACCGTGTTCTTCTTTTAAACATCCTGGAGTGTGAGGTAACATTGTGATGGTGAATCATGAACGTGGTTAAGGCAGGGGTGTGGAAATAGTTGTGTCGAAACAAAATGTAAAGTGAAACGTATGACTGCTTAAATGATTCCCGCATCCATTAAATTTATTGGAATTACCGGTACACCCCTAGAAAAAAAGACATGAAATGCTGGAAACACCGATGGTTACCTTAGATAAAAGTACAATATTGGAACTCCAACTTACTAATTTGAATGTGAATCCACTTACTGTATGTGATGTAAATTCCGGTGCATATTTTTTTTCTTCTACTTCTCATATTTTTCTTCTCCTAAAACCTGCTTTCACAACAACACACAGAAAAATAGTCAAGAGTCTTAAAATTGATTTTTTTTTTTGTTTTTGTAACAAATGCATTTTTTGAGCGCATTCCATTGATATATGATTCAGCTTTGACATTACTGTAACAAACCTAAACTCATATACAGTTGATATAAAAAGTTGACACATGCCTCTTCAAATGCCAGTATAAATTATTTCAAAACTTTTTCCACCATTCAAACTTAATTTAAAAAAAATATATTTTTAAGAAAGAAGTAAAAATATTTTATTGAAATTATATGATTACAGGCATGGTCGGTGGTCAACTGGTTAGCACCTCTGCCTCACAGTGCAGAGGTGCAGGATTCAAATCCGACTCCGGCCTTCCTGTGTGGAGTAGAGTGAGTTTTCTCCAGCTACTCCGGTTTCCTCCCATATTCCACAAATATGCATGGCGGGTTAATGGAACACTCCAAATTGTCCCTAAGTGTGAGTGTGAGTGCGAATGATTGTTCGTCTATGTGTGCCCTGCGATTGGCTTACAACCAGTTCAGGGTGTCCCCCGCCTACTGCCTGAAGACAGTTGGGATAGGTTCCAGCACGCCTGCGACCCCTTCGTGAGAATAAGCGAATTGGAAACTGGATGGAAGCGTGCATGCTCTCCTAACTGGAGATGTGGCTTTGTTCAGAATTAAACTATCACATTCAAATGCTACCATTTAAAATGCCTGTTGTTAATCCCTGAAGCAAATCTCAGATGGTCTTTCTCCTGACCTGGGGTCTTTCGAAAATGTGGAAGGAATTATGAACAGAAATAGCAACCAGTGTTGGCGCAATGCCTTCATGTTTCTGTAAGGATGCAATGAATAATTAAAAAAGAAGAAAAAAACGCCAGGAAAAGGATACAAGAACATCTGAAATGTTAGGGGTTAGTCAGAGAGACTTTATATGAAGTCTCTCTGGTGGTAGGCATGTGTCTGAAAAGGGCTGCCTCTTTTTAGATGCACAAAAGCTCCCTATTTTGATTGAATATGAGAATCTTTCGATCTTTCGACAATGACGCCAAGAAAACATATTTTAAAAAAGTTTCTTCAATGTCGAAGAAAAGAGATTGAGGAAATCGTCAAGTTTCAATTTCATCAAATGAGTTAAAAAAGGAACTAATGGAGGCTTAAGCTCATCTCTCTCTCTCTCTCTCTCTCTCTCTCTCTCTCTCTCTCTCTCTGTCTCTGTCTCTCTCTCTCTCTCTCTCCTCTCTCTCTCTCTCTCTCGCTCTCTCTCTCTCTCTCTCTCTCTCTCTCTCTCTCTCATGCTCATACACATTAATAATTTCATAGTCACATGCTGGGGAGAAGCAAAAGGGGAACAATAACCTTGCTAGCTGACGGATATGAATTAAAAGGCCAAGAAAAGAAGAAGTGGTTGTCGCATTAATGTGACAATATAAAACATCCATCATCATTGTTACTCTCCAGGGGATGCAACATGGTGAGATTTGATCGTAGAGAAGTTTCAGTGCAGATGGACTATTTGAACGTGCCTCAAGCTTCAAGCAAAGGAGGAACAGAGGCAGTGACAGGTGAATACAAGGAAATTTGAGCAACATTAATCTTGTTATATTAGATAGTGTTTGGGAATTTCTGCTTTAGTTAATTTTTATTCAAAGATATTTTTTAAGCCAGAAAAGAAGCAGAATGAACGGAGAAAAATTTTAAGTTTTTGTAGTTTCCTGAACACACATTCACCTTGAAAACGTTTGTTGTGGAATGATTATGAAGTGTAGTTTTATTTTGTTTTCGTACTCTGAGTAGTGTACCAGGAAAAATTATTGGTTTTGTTCTCAAGAATATATATTTTTTTACTATTGAAGAAAAAAATTCCAGATTTGACACTTGTTTTCTTTTTCTTTTCTTTTTTTTTATTTTTTTTGCAAAAAACTAGAATAAAACGTTAGCAAACATTTGCTTTTACTTTGCTTTGAAAAATGTAACGGGCCTATTTTGACGAATGCTTTTTGCATTTTCTACATTATCAAGTTGAAACAATGTCCTGTGTTTGAATATAGACATTCTGATTAACTGGCAAATAATCATTAACTTTTTATGGCTGCAACATGTTCCAAAAATGCTGGGACAGGTGCCAAAAAGACTGAGAAAGTTGATGAATGCTCATCAAAAACCTGTTTGGAACATCCCACATGTGAACAGGCTAACTGGGAACATATGGGTACCATGATTTGATTTAAAAGGAGCTTCCCTGAAATTGCTTAGTCATTCACAAACAAAGGTGGGGTGAGGTTCACCTTTTTGTCAACAACTGAGTGAGAAAATAATCAAATAGCTTAAGGACAATATTCCTCAACATAAAATTGCAAGGAATTTAGGGATGTCATCATCTACGGTCCCTAATATCATCAAAAGTTTCAGAGATGCCTGTGACCTTCGATCCCTCGGACGGCACAGCGTAAAAAAATAATGTGTGAAGGCTATCAATATATGGACTCAGGGACAGTTTGCAAAATACGCTGTAAAAGACAACATGTGTCAAATATTAGCTGGAACCAGAAAAGCCTCCAAGAAGGAGAAAAGTGAAAGTAAAACAGAAGAGGAAGAGAGCAACTCAGATTTCCATAAAAGGAAATGCAAGAGGCTGGAAAACTGCTTTGCACAACAGAGCCGCCCACCTTGTTTGTCCATGCTTCCGGTTCTTGAAGAGCCTGTATTACTTATGAGATGGTGATGAAGACATTATTTCACAACACTGGACTTTTATTTGAAGAACATCATTTCCACTTTTTGGATAGATTTATAAAAACAGTGCAGGGAGCCTTTAACAGTGGTAATTTGATCATTACCGGTATGTTGTGGTTGTCGTGCTGTAGAACTGGACAGCATTTGTTTTGATCACTGGACTATTTGACTATTTGAACATATTGTTCAAGGAATACCTCTCTCACAGTATCACTGCATACTATCTACAGTATATTACAGCATTTTTTACAGTTAAAATTTTATTGTTGTTTTTTTATCCCACACATTCAAAGGTAAATTCACTACGATAACTTCCGTTCATTCTCTCATTGTGTTCATGATGGTGATACCCTCTCAAGCAAGAAATGTGTACAAACTAGTCGCCGTGAGCCTCGGACTCTTGTGTGTCCTGCAAGCTGCTCTCAACATTTCACTTCGTCTTACCACTCGTGAGTTTGAATTCTTCTCTTCTTTTTTCTTGCAGGTTACCCATATTGTCTTGATCGTTTTCAGTCATTTTAAAATCATGACATCAATGTAGAATACGTGTGCCCCCCCCCCCACCACCACCACCACAGAGAGGCACTTTAAATGTGTGTACTGACACCGGTTTAACAGTGGTTTCAATGTTATTGCTTAATTCTGAATACCCCCCTACCAGTTAAAGATGTTGTGAACACTTGTGCAAACACGTTGGTTCAGGTATTTAGTTTTACTACCCCTGTAAAAATAAAAATAAAATTCTATTAAGTTCAACAGTATATGGGTAACAGTAATAGTGGAAAAATGTTGAAATTATTTATCTTGGTCTCATTTTTTTTAATATCACAAAAACCTGACATTTGAACAGGGGTGTGTAGACTTTTTATATCCATTGTCTCGCTGTCTTATCAGTGCATTCTGACAGTAAAAAAGAAGAAATTGCAACAGATGCTACTTGCACAAACTCCACTCAAGAGACTGAAGAATTGAAAAGAAAAATCTCTACTATTGGTAAGTATGACTCTGAACCGAAAAGATCATTGATATTATTCATGATTCATTTAGACCTGACTTGTTTGACACGAATTGTACTCAATTACTCTGCTTATGTTTTAAAATGTTGAGCAGATAGCTATGGTCGGAAAGGATGGGTATATTTCCTCTCCAGTTTGTATTACATCTCTTCCACAACCAGAACTTGGTTCGGCAGTCGAGCTGACTGCCTGAGGAGAGGTGCGGACCTGGTGGTGATTAACAGCAGAGAAGAGCAGGTTGCACCGTTTTTGTGTGCTTCTCATTATTCTGACAACTTTGGGGAGTTCAATCTGTAAAACTGAACATTTTGTGTTGTGTTGTCTCTTAACAAGAACTTTGTAGTGAAATTCAACAAGCTGCTGTGGATTGGGCTGAAAGAGCAAGAGGGCACATGGAAATGGGTTGACGGGTCTCAGCTGAAAACAAGGTTCATACTTTTTCATGCACACATGCACCGCCTTCATCTCCTGAAAATGTTTGAGCTTCATGACTGAATCTGACTCACCTTTGTGGGTGTCACGGTTTTAAAACTACAGTGGAACCTCCAAAGTTGATGTTCTCAACCCACAATTTCAAGAAATCTCATGTATAACTTGAAAATTGCATTAATAAAATTGACATTTGATGCTATAGCAGAAGATATCGCACAAGGCCTCACTTCAGCTATTGTCCAAGCGCTCAGCTAAACTCACCATAGTGCCGTTCTGTGGGTATCAAGGGATTAGCCCTTAAGTGTGTGTTTTGCTTTTCTATGGCTTTCATATAAAAGTAGGATTCTTGTGATCATTTTGTCAGCAGTTGCGTAACTGTGGTCAACTTTACTCTACATATTTTATACCTGTATTTGCATTTACAGGATATGTGGCATTTTGGTCATTAAAGTTAAGAAAACGTTTCAACTGTGTTTTATAGTTAACATTCACCAGTTATTATGTTGACACTTTTATCGGAGTTAAGAATATTGAAAAAAAAAAGTTATAGTTAGACCTGGATGGTTTATAGTGTCTAATTCTGTGATTTCTGGTTTTTTTTTTGTTTTTTTTTTCAAAATCCCGGAACGAACCCCGTTCCAATGTGTCTCTTATCTGTTGCTTCTGAATGTCAGGGAATAGTTCCTATTTGTCAAAGGAATAGGAGTACTGATGTTGAATGAAAATGACATTTGTGTGTGTTCTTGTGTTTCAGCTACTGGGCTTCAAATGAACCTAATAATTATGAAGGTGCAAAGGAAGATTGTGTACAAATACGGTTTCATGAAATCAATAACAGCTGGAATGATGTCATATGTGAAGAAGAACATTTTTGGATCTGTGAAAAAACTGTGTGATGCAACTTTTAGGAGATGATACAACTTTATGAACTCTGAACCAAGTTCATTTTACATACTGTATTTGTAATCGTTTGCTGAGGAGCAAGAGCTCATTTACAAGTAGATGTCAAAAATCGTCTGTTCTTCTGCTTGTGCTTCCTTTTATAAACAGTGCATGTCTGTGGAGAAACCACTGGGCTGAAAAAAAAAGAATATATCGTCTTTGTGCCATATGACATCCGTGCGTTCATTTTCTGTGGTGCTTATCCTCATTAAGGCACAGGTGAGCTGAAGCCTATCTCAGATAATTTTGGGCGAAAGGCAGGGCTGGACTGGTCGCCAGTCAATCGCAGAGCAGACAATCAACCATTCAAACATCCAACCGCACGAGATGTCTCGAATGAACCTAACATGGATGTTTTGGGAATGTATGAGGAAGTTGGACTACCGGAGAAAACCCACACAAGAGCAGAAAGAACAGGCCAACTCCACAGAAGAATCCCAGAGCCAAGATTCAAACCCTGAACCTCAGAACTGTGAGGCAGATTTGCAAAACAATAGTAAAATGAGAAAAACTAAAAATGTGCTTCACTCGAGTGGCGTCGCTACAACTATTCTTATTTTCTGTTTTTATAACAACATGAGTAAAATTCAAGACAATTTCGGTGTTTCAGTGCAAGTTTTTATTAGACTGCAGTTTTTGTTATTGTAAAGTGTCCTTGGGTGTCTTGAAAGGCGCTTATAAATAAAATGTATTGTTATTATTATTATTATTATAATAGTACTGTACTGTACTATGGAGGACCAAAGTGTTGTACAAACGAATATGACCTGCACTAACAAAAGAAATCCTGCAGGTGTCAGTAGTCACAGATCAACGTTATTTCCGGAAACTAACAACAAGATCATCCAATCAAACAACAGTTGAATTTTAAGTCAGGAAAGACAGTTCCTTCTTATGCTGAACACCACACTAATAACACACCAACGGATCTATATTGATCCGCTGTGGAGTTTCCGTTCGACCAACACAAACCTCTCCGCAGAAATTTATTTGCTTTTGAACCACATCTGCCTCTCTTCAACAGCTGTTTCATGGGCTCCCCGGAGGAAGAGAGAGGTAGGAGCGGAAGGCAACGTTCACTTTTTACGGACGATATGTAAGCTAACGCTAACTTTCCATTGCTAACTTTGGTGGCTAGCTCTATTTCTGTTGTTCTTTAGGCACGTTTCTCACTGTGTGAAGAATATAATCGTGTATTGCAGATTCTGAACAATCGGTTACGATTAGACTACATTACGACAGTCCTTGATGTCGGTGCGAAACAAAGTGACTTTTGCAGCGCTTCCTAGTCGAGATGTTGGGTTGAGTCAAAGTTGCGGCATAAAAACGGGCATTTGCCTTTGGAATCGACACATATCAATCTGAACTGCTGCTTTCTGTACGGTACGAGAACTTGTACGTGTTATGTAACGCTGTGTTTGTATGAATCAGCAGGAAGAAAGCTACCCGCTTCCTAACTTCACTTTGCCGCCCCAAAAGCTCAATCTACCACCAATTCTTAATCACACACTCGTTGTTACACGACAAAGTCATTGACTACGTCCCAGGAATCTAATAGAAATAACCAAGTTACCCAGAAGCTGTTTAGATGGCGCGATTTCATTTTTTTGTGTACTGTCATCTCCCATTGGAAGCAGTGTGCAGTAATGCCCCTTTCATGATTTGTCCCTCCAGACTGGGTAGATGTGGCAAATGAGCTGCTCGTCAAGTGTCGCATTGAACAGAAGCTGACTAAACTCACAGACTGTGACGCCCATGTGTTTATTAGTCTCTATGAGAACATCCTGAGAGAGAAGGTTCCAGGTAAGATGACGGCAAACGGGGTGCGTGCAGCATCTGTTTGGAATGACTGTACAGTTTAGTTCGAAAGTAGAATTCGAAACAAATATATCGGGTCAGGGTTAATAACAAGTATTTCTCTCTGATTATTAAGTGCTTTACCCTTTTGTGTGGGCCAGTGTATGCGTTGTTTTTTAAGAGAGGAAGAATAACCGAATAGGGACTGGTAAGTGAACCCAAGCATGGTACAAATAGTAACAATAATCAAACACTACACACTTATAAATTCTACCGATCAAGAACAATCTGCTACAGCACTAATTACAGTACACAATTAACATAGTACTTCCTCTCTTCTACTCTTAATTCTGAAAGATAAAACACCACCTCCGGTAATATGTCACTTGTCCGCGACGTTGCAACTGACACCTGTTACTTTCAATTATTAGCATCACATAAAGCACTCAAATAATGGGTACTGCTAACAAGGCGCTTATATTTGTGTGTCACTACTTTGTCGTTGCCGAACACAGATGAATAAACCTTTTAATTCCCAATCAATTTTCAACCATGTGACGTAACCGCCCATGCACAAAGCACATGAACCGGGCCACTTGAATGACAAATATATAAATAAATCCAGCAGGGGGTTTTCCCCACAATACTACATAATGTAGATCAAAATACTGATTTGATATTTTACTTTGTTGTCATTCTTTTTTTTTGTTGCCCCCACATACAACAGCCTTGCATTTCATGTTTATGATGTATTTCGCTGTCCGTGAGAAATGTTTTTCTGTGAAGATTTCTGAGCATGTCCATGTACTGTGATTGTGTGTTGTTGTAGCTTTTTGTCATTGCTGACACTATTGAGTTGCCCTGGGGTTCATATGCATCTTTTTTTTTTACATTTTCACATGCATGAGTGTCTTTGTACATTTTAGATTATATTGCATCACCACGGAGCCAGGAGGATGATGTCCATAATGTTCAGTGTGTGATTGACTCGCTGTCGCTGGATTATCTTCAGATCAGTCTCTCGCATATCACAGGTATAAAAAAAACATTTTTGTGCGTCTATGTAAACGTCAGTGCGATTGAATCTTCAGAGACATTTTTTTTTTTTTTTATGCAGAATTCCACTACCCTCTTGTTATTTTTTTCTTTTTTGTAGTGTTCAGACTAACAATGGAATGAGTTTAATAATGAGTGTATGCTTACAGGAGAAAATGTCATCCGGGGAGACAAAGAATCAATCAAGAATCTTTTGGATATCTTTGATGGTCTCTTAGAATATCTCAGCGAGGAGATAAGTGAGGAGTCACAGAATGATGGTGGGTACATCGAACAATCATCTCTGTTTACTTTCCTTGTTCTCAGTATATTGACAAGCATGCTCTTGTTACATAAATGTGACATCTTTCATATTAAAAGCAGCTCTGAAAAACAAAGGCTCGTCTCATTTGGGAGAACTGAGCACTGCTTTGTTAGTGTAGCTTGAACTGCCCCTCAGACCATATTATGTAACTTCATCTGCACCTCATGAAAGTCACGTCCCAGATAGAAAATCAACAGAAAATTTAGGTGAAATTGTCTGTTCACTGCGATGCAGGTTTTGACTGCCTAACATGTTTCTTGAACAGAATTGTGGTACCACAAGTATGGTAATTTGTTCCTTCATTATCACTTATAATACAACTATCATTTTTTTTTGTTGTTTTTGTTTTGTTTGTAATAATTCGTATTCAAAATCAGGGTCATCAAATAGTGGTCTCCAAGCGGAAGGTCTTGGTGAAAGCGAGGCACCAACAACCAGCAATGCCATCAAGCAGATGGACACAAAAATGGACGAAGGGCATTTGTCGTCTGATTGTGGAGCGTAAGTACATTCCTGTCGCTCTTTTTATACTGCCTGTTAAAACCAGGATATTTCTGGGTAGCCGGGTACAAACTGCACAGACATGAACTTGAGGGAACCAAGTTGAACCAAGAGGCTGTTCATAAGCCCTTCGTTCGAAACCACAACCATAGTACATGTACTCTTTTCTGCCTGTCAGTAATAGACATTTCAATGAGTCAAGTAAAATGCACAGTAGTTTGTGCACTTCAGGGAGGAACCTCTGGCTAATCGGGTATATTAAAATGCAGGTCCACTATGCACTCGAGTATGAATTCCCAACATTCCATCAACAGTGAGCAGCCTGGATCACCCAGTGAGGTCATCGGGCTCGGGGTTTCAGCACGCACGTTCACAGATCAAAAAGAAGGTGAGATGTGAAAAGATGTGTTTAAAAATACAAGGTGGCCTCGGTTTCGGATGGAGTTCTGTTCTTACGCTGGCCTTATGAACCAATTGTGTATAAAATCTGAGTTGAATAAAATGCTGCAGTCCATTACTAACCTTTACTAAGACTGTAGTGAAGTCTTAATTCTAGTAATGTCACTTTTCGTTTTGCCCGGTTCCATACCGAGAATGCCTTGCTTGGCCCCTTTTCGGTTCCAAGCACAACTCTTTCCCAAACTATTTGCGAGGTGCTTCTAAAACACAGGCCCAATGGGGCCATGTCGTCACTGTCATCCAATTTGCCGTTGTAGCAAGGAACTCTACTGCACACGCCCATTTCCTCGTTTTACATGAGCGAGACAGAGTCATCTGCCGACAGTTATACAATACGGCACAGTGTTCCCTCGCGACATTCACCGTTCGATTATTGCAGATTCACTCTATTACTCGCTCTATGAATGTGTTACGGTTCTACCGCTGTATTTTACCATGTTTTCTCACTATTTTTCGTCCTTCTAAGTCAGACCAATTAAAAAAATCTCTTCATGCCTTTTGATATTGATTAATGTACGTACCGCTTGCCCATTGATCTTACAAAAAATGCACATGATATAACCAGTATGCCGTTATCATACGATATACATGTATATCATTGTATTGCACAACTTTAGGTGGAATAGAGACAGTTTCTAGACGTGCTGTACACTCACTGTCGTATCCCCCCGCCCCATCATCCAATTTGTATGGTGCACAGTGGTTGTAGTGTGCTCAAGGTCAGGAAAAAGAAATGCCATGCAACTACTCTTTAGCCTTTGACTCAACAGAATCAACAGTCCAGCCGTTAACTTCGGATGCAATCGTCACCACGGATGAAGTTGCCACCTCTGGTCCCGCAGAGGATCTGGTTGCACGACTTTCTGAACTGCCGCACACCGCCATTGCACTACAGCCACCCACCCAGAGCGATTCCCCCCACCACACCGACACAGACACGAACTCCATCGACCGAGACCCAAATGGTGCTTGCTGTGTCGAAGAGCAACACGACCCTGCCATCATCCAGGTATGAACACGCCCTTCTGCTTTTTAAATGTTGTATTCTAGCGTTTTTGTGTCTTTTGTCCAAATATCCTCTCATCCTCCAGAGAAAGACCTCCAGCACTGAAGCAGAGAGGCCTGTCTGCAACGGCCTGCACTCACCGGGTGGGTCAGGGAAACGAAAACACAGTTGATCCCCACTTTCTGGATTGTACATCTTGAGATTTATATTCTGCTACCTCTGTGTCCGTTTCGTAGCCGTGAGTGAAATAGATTCAGCCAGCCAGCAAAGGGCCGAAGTTTCGGGAGAGACACTGCAGGTAGGAAAGCAGCAAGCCGCCACTTTTAAATGAAGGGGCATATTCATATTCCTTTTGTACGTTTCATCAAAGTATGATATTTTCAGCCCACCAAGGGAGGCCCCAGGAAGGTTTTATTCCACACGCAACCAGATGTCCTCCTCCTAACGCTCCAGGATGAGGCGTCAGCCGCCACCCCGATTCTGCCAGAAACGGAGGAAGTGAAGCAAGAAGAGGAAGACCTGTGTCCTACGACGAGACCACAGGGGGGAAGCCTCCACGATGAGAAGGATCTCGGGTATCTTCGTGAAACTATTTCATTCTACCATGGTTGCGTTTGCTTTGAGCTTGTCTTGCTCAAACCCCCCCCGACTGATTCTTGTTTCAGCAGCTGGTCGGAAGACGACGAGGAAGTGGAAGAGGCGGAGGACCTCAAGGAGACTCATTCTCACTGCAGGAAGAGAAACAGGCGAGCAGAAAAAGAACTGCATCACATTTTTGAGAAACTCACCCATCGAATTGATGAACTGGATCAGGTGAGAACAGGTGCAAGTGTTTCCATTGTTATTTTAGTCATTTTAATGTGTGGGTGTGAATACACACAAACGAATCATCGTGTGCGGGGGTGAGTGGTTAACCCCAACCCACCCATCCACATTCTCAACTGCTTATAATGACTACGGTCGCTAATTACTACTGCTAACACCACAAAAAAAAAACGAATCGGGGGAAAAAGTAGAAGGTCTTTGACTGGCCATGTCAATCAGCCGGACCTTGACACAATATAGGACGCAGTTCATCTCCAGAGGATGAGACTGAAGGGAGAAACCCTCAGAAACTGAAAGGGGTGGCAGAAGTGGCCTGGAAAGCATTTTGAATGAAGAAGGGAACAGTCTGGCATTATCAATGGGTAGTTTTGATCTGAAACCCAGTTTTCTGTCGAAAAACAAGAAATTGACCTTGCTGTTCAAATACTTGGACCCTTAATAAAGCTGCCTTGCCTTGCCTTACTATATACTGAGTTCAACATTTCACCGCCCCAGCCCAATTATCCTGTTTTTTTCTTGATTTTTGTCTTCAGATGCTGAAACGACTTTTGGGCAACAGTGAAGAGCCTGGAGCGTTTGGAGATAAGGAAGAGGAGTGTGACCTCACTACCGACATTGAGGCGCGTAATCGGACCTCCAGACTATACACTGGTGTGTGAATTTGCCGAAATTATGCATTAAAGCAGTTTAGCATGACTCAGAGCGCCTTCACAAGAATAATTCATCATTTCAGGAACACCCGAACCCAAATCAGCCCGTAAGAACTTCTCATCTTTTTCCTTGCCTGCGCGAGGTCATCACTACGTGCTGGAGCACTCAAAGGATGACGACGAAGACGAGGCCGTGAGCCTCTGTGGAGATGGCCAACACGCAAACATCCCGACCCGTCCTCTGATGTGGCAAAGTGAGCCGCCGCGCCGTACAAAACACAAAAAGGTTGTTTTGAATTTTACATCTGTCTCGTGAATAGAACTTGACTTCCAACTTTCAGATGCTATTTATGTGTTTTGGTGGGCTTCACATCATTTTTTTTTTTTTCTAACCAGACTGTGGTGAATCAAGCTTACGAGGCGGAATTGATGAAATTAGAAGGGAAAAAACGAGTTGATCTTGACAAGGAACGGCACGAAGCTCAGGAGGCTGTAAGTGGTCACGATGCATATCATCAAGCATCGGGGTGTTGCGGCTTTTGCTGCCACTGTCGCCCAACACGACTTTATTATGTCTCTGCAGGAGCGAGAGTACAGAGAGGCCATACTCAATGACTTTCCCAAGGCGCCCACAACGATTCCATGGACAAACAAGTCCCAGCCGAAGGTCCACACACAAAGCACCTCAGGACGACTACGAACACCCAAGAAAACTCCACCACGTAAGATGCATTTCTTTCATGATTATATGAATGAGTGTCATTTTTTGATTGTCCCGTGGTGACACAATTTAAGTCAGACATTCGACACAGTCCGTGGTCGTCAAGAATATTAATAAATTGACTCAATGGCCAGGGGGAAAATACCAGACCTCAACTGAGCAACCTACTAACAGAGCACTTTGAAACCACTTATCCTGAAAGACCGGAATTAGGTGCCTAGTTGACTGCATGAGTAGTACCCTTCACGGGCATTTCGCTGGAACAGCATTAAAGCGGGGCGTATCCACCTTTGGACAGCAAATTAATAAGTCTCTGAAGAGACAATTAATACAAAGTAATGCTATACACACACACACACACACACACAGATAAACAAGAAATGTTACGGCATCTTGTACATCAACCAGGAGTAGTGGCTAAGCAATTCAGAAAATGGATGCATGTAGTATATATAGAACACATAACACACACTTAATATTTATAACACAAGCACACACCAAAAAAAAAATCTCACACCAAAAAAAATGTCAATATGAAAAAAAAATATACTGTATACATATATATTTTTTCAATTTCAATGCAAACCACTGGATGTTTATACAAGGTCTGAATTGTTTGATGTTATCATCTGCCCTTGTAATTCTGCGCAAGCAAGACAGCGAGGCATGATGTTCTGGGGGTCCATTTTGTCTGTCCAGTTAAAATGAAGGAGAATGAGCTCCTGCCCGTGCTCCTGGAGGAGCTGCCGTTCCTGCATATCTCTTCGCAAGACCTGGGCCGCATGTGGCAGCAGCAGAAGCAGCAGGTGGAGCGAATCCGCGCCCAAGCTGTCGCTCAGAAGCAGCGGCGCAGCCGATTCTCCCAAGAGGTGAGTGCTTGATTTTGTTTGTTTACCGAAGGCTATGAGCAAGTGAACCATGGACCCCCCCCCCACCCCTATAATAATAATAATAATAATAATAATAATACATCCTCCCGTGTGACAGTTTGAAGAAGCTCAGAGGAAGCACGACCTGCTGGCGGGAATGGTCCGCAAACAGCAGGAGCACAGCAGACGTCTGGTGGGTTCACATGCATTTGTTCCAGTGTCTTTCTAACAGCAAAGAAAGAACAGGCTGTGACGTCCTAATGGGCTTGATCCTCCAGAGAGACTTTAAAGAGCACAGCCAGCAGCAGAAGTCCACCCAGAGCCGACTGAAAGAACAGCGGCAGCAGATTGCTCGGGCCAGGAAGTACCACCACGACTACCACGTCCAGCACCGGGCTCGCCTCATGAAGGCTCGCATCAATGAGGAAAAGGTGGCCACCTGAACACCCTCCTTGTAACTTCTAAAGGCTCTTAACACACTCACTGTTCACATGCTGCATGAGCATCCGGCGTGTCCTTGTGTGTGCTTAGATGTTTCGGCAACTCTTTGAAGAGGGTTTGGAGGTGCAGAAAGCCTGTCTGAGGGAGCAGAGAGCCTTCGCCACGGAGCAAAGGCTTGAGCACCAGAAACGACAACGGGACCATATCGAATCTATGGAGAACTACTACAAAGATCAAGTAGGACACATTCAGAAATAGTGTTGGGCGCTCTGGGGAAAAAAAAAAAATCAATACATTTTCAGTTAATCTGTTTTTAAAAAACACAATAATGACGGGAAAATGAAGCTTCATATTTGCTTCGTGAACCAATTACATTTTTTTACTCATCTAGATGGCACTGTTGGCTTAAATAAAGGTGTTTAAAAAATTGCAAGTTAGTGTACTTCAGTCCAATATTGAACAGAGAAGCTTCATTTTTCCATCACTATGACTGCTGCTCTTGCTCACTGTATTTTGAAGTGACATTAAACCGTGCACCCAGTGCTCCTACAGCTGATATACAAAATTATCAAATATGCAGAGAAGTAGCCCACACATTTTTGCACATTTGTCAATGTCTCTCTAAATAAGAGTCATGGAAAAATGTCTCTGACAGAAATCGATTAAAAAATATTCATTAAATATTTTTAAAAAGGGCTCTGCTGTAATATAATTTGGAGATCTCAAAAGGGACAATCAAAACTCAGGACTGTATTGTAAAAACAGATTACATTTCTTCATATTATATGCATTCAGTACTATATGCATCCATTTTCTGAATGTTTATCTTCAGGATTAATATACTTGATAACCTTTTAGGCCACTTCTCCCGGTTGATAGACGAGAGGGCGTAATCCGTTTAACTGTGTGTGTGTCGACATTATTTTACAATTTCTCTCCTGATACTTATTAAATTGCCTGCAATTTTTGCTGATCAACGTTGGATACGTTTTGCATTAACGCAGTTCCAGCAAGACGTCTCTGAATTGTACTTTGTCTTTGTCACCCAAGTGCTTTAAATTCCAGTCTTTCACGATGACTTATGTTATCTTACCAATTAGCATGGCTTCTCCGTCCCTCCCTTCGATAATTATTCTTCGTAATCCCTTGATGAGAACGACATTTGTAAGACGTTTTGTTTAATTGCCGCCATGGGGGCGAGTCGATGCAGGCTGTGATTCCCGAGTTAGGAGGGAAACCGCAATGTGTTTCCAAGCATTAGTCGAAGCTGCTAAACTTGCTTCTCGCTAGCTCAATATTACGGCGCCTTGTGTCAACCTGCCGCCGAAAAATACTTACCGTAGGTTCACCGGGAAAATTCTGTCGGATACAAAATGGTTCTCTGCAAAAATATCTGTATAAAGGCAGATTTTATGATGGAGCTTTTGTTGGTGTAGCTTTAAAAAAAAAAAAAAAGGTCAGTCAGTGTGGGTTCTAAGACTGTCACACAATTATATTGATATTTTGTTTTTAATGTTTGAATCTATTCTGTTTGCAGTTTTCACTGCTGGCTGAGAAACTTGCACAAGAGCGCCAGGAGATCCAGATTCGTAAAAAAGCTCAAGAGAAGGTTAAAAATGTTCTCGTCAAATCATCTTTTAACACCACCATCAGCATGCAGCATAATGAATCAGTCCGCTTATACAGGTGCTGCTCAAGATGAAGCGCGAGCTACGTTCCAAGATGGAGCGTGAGATCGGCGAGCTGCAGAAGATCATCATCCAGAACGACCAGGACGACCACTTCCAAGAACTGGAGGTCCAGAGGTTACGCAATCGAGTCCGCATGGCTTCTTTCCACTGCCGCAACAGCTGTCTGCACTGACCTTTGTCATGGCTGGAGGAACGAACCCAGAGGCTCGTCCTGACTGCCGCTCATATTTGCACATGAGCAGCACGCTTCCGCAAAACTTGATGGGGTACGAAAGGAGGAACCTACATTTGATGAACTGAAAGCAGTCCGACAAATTGTAACGAACTGTTCCTTCACTGTGACCTTCTTCTATTGTAGCTGGTCACCTGTACAAATGTTCCTTCTTTTGCCAAATGACCACAACACTGAGTTTTAACTTCTTTTTACTATGCTATTAAGTCTTCCTTTAATGATCGGTGGTTTATTTATTTTTTTAAATTAAATTTGGTCTTTTTTTTTTTTGTAAATACTAAGCAGATGTTGGTGTGTGTGCTCTAATCCATGGGAGAATAACAATCAAGTTTTAGGAGCCAAAGCTAATGGATTTATGTCTAACTATAACATACTTAAGTGTGATGAAAGGTGTGGATGGAGGAGGAAAATTAACTTCTAAGAAGCTTGTGATAATATCCGAACCACCTGAAATGACATGAACAAGACTAATGCTCTTAAATTGTGGCTAAGCTCGTCTCCGCTTGAACCAATAAACCTCACGTTGCTATGTTCAAACCCTATCGAACAACACAAATGCAGATCTATGAGTGTGAGTTTATGTGTACAACAACACAACTGACAAAAACCTACACATACTTAATTCTAAACAATGTGGTACAATGCTAAACATACTTAAAACCTAAAAGGAACTGCTATAACAAGCCCTAAAACAATCGGCAATTGCGGAATGATGACCCCCCTCAGGGATTTATTAAAATTGAAGTGGGCCCCGATACGAGATAATTCAGTTTTTTTTTTTTTTTTTTTTTTTGGCGAAGGGAATGAATTTTGGGGGGAATGAGCATGTATGTATTTCTGGGTAATCTATCAAGTAAAACCTATTTTCTTTTAGTGTGAATTTAAAATCTACAGTTCAATCTGCAGTCGACGCACTGCCATTTGTCAAACAGAAGTTTGCACACCTGTGTTCAAATGCCAGGTTTCCATTTTTTGATATCACAAAGACCCGTGTATTTGAACTGAACTGTAAAATTCCGATTGAGCCCTTATATCCTTCAGGGGTTTGTGTTTCAGCAGCATGACATTCATCCGCCTTCAATTTGTCAAATGAAACCAATTCGTCCTCAAATAATTAGTAGTGGGGATCAATTTCAAAATGCTGACAAATAGAAATGAGTTATACACGTGCTTGTATAAAACATAATGCTGTCAACATCCAGACAGCAGTGTTTTATTGCTCCGCTTTCTGCAAGTTTACAAGAATTAGTTCCCACCCCTCACCTCTCCGCCATCCTTTTGAATATCTTTGCTTCTTTATTGTCAATTACAAGCTCACAGAGCAGCTGAGGTGAAAAACAGAATAGTTACTGTAACAATAAATACAAAAACCGTGGTAAAATCGGATGCAGAATTAATTGAAAAGGATGGTTGGTTTTACAGGGGACAATTTGCCCCCCCCCCCCAAGTGTTCATTTGCACTAGTAAGCCAGCCAGCAAACATGGCAAAGCGAACGGATGAGCTGTGGACAAACGTGCGGCATAGCGGGAACATGTGCATGTGCATATACGTGGTCTACATCAAAAATCAGTCCATTCGTATCTGGTACATAAAGGAAAGTGTCCAAGTATACATGACGTGTGCAAATAACACTTGCAATGCATTTATAGTTGTGTTAGAGATAACATGAAATAAATCATCTGTAAATGTTCATAGAACAATTTGTGAGCGCTTCATGGTTGTAGCCGGTAAAGAAAACAGAAAGGGGGGTGGGAAGATGAGTCACAAGTCTCAAAAAATACACATGGCTATGCAAAACAGACTTGTTGAGAAAAGATATCAAAACGTTTGTCCTCTGTGTTGCTTGGAATTTAGTGGAAACATCCCCTGTAGCAAATGCTTCTATGTGTGGATGATTATTCAAAAGTCCGGTGTCTCTTGTTTTGCATCGAGTCCTCCTCATGTAATCATGAAAATAAAATAAAATAAAATAATAAAGCACAAGTTCTCCTGAGAATGCAAAGAGGTCTGTGACAGACACGCTGCATTTGCACGGAACACACACACACACGCACACAAAAATCATTTTTGTACAGATATACTCGCTGTGTAGATACGTGTTCATCTAGTCCGTATACTTGTAAAATATAGTAGAGCAAAGTAGACTTGAGAGATTTCAAAATAGGGGTTCCCATATTGAGGCAAATAAAACGCTCGAAAGCTATTCTATTGATCGTCAATCAGGTATATCATTTCTTGCAAAGGGCTTTTGGATTGGCTGTGGACACGGTGACGTATCGGTCCAAGTTTGGGTCGTGAGTGAGGAACCTGTGGTTTCATTTGACTCGTTTGAGAAACCCCCTTTTCATATTGGGAAGTGGGGGGGGGGGGAGTACTCCTGACATCATTGCTCACTTGCTAAAGTGCTTGACAGTGACAAGTGAAAATAAACATGTGTCTGCAGCAGCGCACACTTTGCGACACGTGACGGGACAGCGAGCGTGCGGGGTGGCCGGGGTGAAGATCGCATCCATACAAAATGTGGATAGGATGAATGGGAAAACAAAAACAAAAGACAAAATAGGCTCGGCGGTTCATCTTGAGCGGCTTGAAACTTGGAACAGTGGAACCTCCAAAGTGGAACAATGTGGAACTGAAACCGACTGTGGGTGACTACGGGATGTGTTTTACTGTTTTGTGATGTGAAGAAAACGATTGATAACCACAAAAAATGAAATGGAAGTATGGTTGACTAACTTGATATATGTGTGTCAGTTCGAAGTGTTGCAATGTTATAAAAACACATTCCGTAAAGTAAATAAAAACCAGAGTCTGGAACAAATGAATATACTTGACATGGATTTTTTTTTTCCAACTACAACAACAAATTGTAGATGTTCAACTTTGGAGGTTCCACTGGAAGGTATTGCAGGGGGAAAAAAAGTTAAAGACCAACTTATCTTTGCATTCAAACATGGATTTGGATACACGCACACAGAAGACTTCTTCACCAGAGTCCGTTTCCTCAGCACATGACATGCTTGACTTAAAAAAAAAAAAACAGCACGATCCAAAAACAATATATTACCTTTATAGGGCTGCTATTAAAAGTGGACTCCCCCTCCCCAATGAGGGGCTTGAGAATAGATACATACGCGCATACACACAAGTTTGGACTGAGGTAGGATGAAAGTGCAGCTCTCCACTTAGACGTGTGAATTTGATGAACATGGAGAGCTTGGGCAAGAAGTGGCTACCTGAAGAAGACGCGGCGACAAGTGGCAGGAGCGTGACGCGGGCCGAGCAAAACCGATTCCTGTCCTGCTCTTAAACGCCCGGAAGGAGTTTTCGATTGAGCGGGGGGCGGGGGGAAGCGCGGGGTGGTCTCCAAGTCCGCCGGTTGGCTCGCAGCTATGCTACAACACAAGGAAATATTGAAGAAAGGCGCGCTCCCCGTTCGGATTCAGATACGGGAAGAAGGTGGGCAGCAGCGTGAAAGAAAAGAGGAAGACTGCGGGATGCTCAGTTAGGCTGCATGGATGAATCCATCGTACAGTTTCACGTCAACACACGCGTACACACACTCAAGGGGCGCGCCTCATTCCACTGCGAATCCACATGTCTCCTCGATGGCGGTCAGCAGCTTGTCGTAGAGCTTGTCGTAGCTCTCGTAGGGCGGAATGTCGATACGATTGAAGCTGAAAAAAAAAAAGAGCATGTATGTGAGTTAAAAAAAAATAAAAATAAAACAGAAGATACAGTACAAAGAAAAGCACAACATGAGGGGAGGGGCCACACACACACACACACACACACACACACACACACACACACACACACACACACACACACACACACACACGCACGCACGTAGTATATACATGCAAATAGCGGTATAAATAAAGATGTATTGTATTGTGTTGTATTGTATTGTAAATTTCCCCAGTGTGGGACAAATAAAGGATATCTTATTGTATATATAAAGTGTATTCAAAACAATTTTGTATGCAAATGATACTATTTATCGTTGCTTCGAGGAGTTGGACGGGGCACAAAATAGTTTTATACTTTCTGGGAGGAGGGGAAGAAAATTAAAGGAGAAACACCCGTTCAAAGGCAGACATAAATGCTATTACAATTATATGGATTAGACTTCAATGATGACGAACATGTCATGTGTTTGTGTGTGTGTGTGTGTGTGTGTGTGTGTGTGTGTGTGTGTGTGTGTGTGTGTGTGCGCGCGCGTGCACGCGCGCGTGTGTGTTGAGTGAAACAAACCAGGTATGGGCTTTGGGCAAATTGTTGGTGTTGGCATCAATCTGATGAATGGTGAAAAGTCGAGGCCCCGCAGCGCCTGCAGGCAAAAAACAGCAAGAAAGCAAACAACCTTCAGCAGATGTTTCAACTTTTCACGTGTTATTTTCAAGTCTCTGAAGCTTGAGCGATGAGGTCACACTTTGTCCACTCTTGGGTGAAAGCAATCTTTGTACCTTGTAGCGCCTTGAAACCCTGCAAGGGCACCCTGGAGGAGCCGGTGACAAACTGAAGCAGGCGTGCCCTCCTCTCCTCATCAAAAGACTCCACCGCCTTCCAGAACCACTTGACAATGTTGCTGTCGGGCGTGCAGTGCTTGAGACGCGTGTTCGACTTCCAGTCAGAGACGTCGATCTTTCCCAGGCCGCACACGATCAGCTGGAAGAGAAGGCGGAAGGCTAACACCGTTAGAGAAATGACGACGACGACGATGGCCACAATCTGATGTCTTTACTCTCATACCTCAAGCTCCTTTTCATCAAAGGATTTGAGTAGATGTTGTGGGATCACTTCATTGAAGCCTTTCTGCAGGGCCAAAAACTGAGCCTCGATACCGTGTAGGAAACGCCAGTTCACATATAACCTTCAAAGTGTGGAAAACACTACTTAGGCAACTGGAAGTTGACAGTACAAACAGAGAGCAAAGTGCTGTAATATGCAAGAAAGGCCAGCAGAGGGCATCCCCTGTAATAGAAACTGCTGGGTCCTCCTGAGCCTCATCTGAAACCCTTGTTTTTTTTTTTTTTGCCCCTTTCCCGCAAAAATAAATAAAGGAAAACAACAACAACAACAACATAAAAATGTGGTTTACAATTTGGCCTATCAAAGTAATGCAACTTTGCTAGATGAAGTAATGACATAAAAGTGCCCTCAACAAACAGCAGCCGCCTTGTGGCTCACCGTTGTTGTTTTGGTTACAACACTTAGTACTCTTCTTAGTTACCCAACCATTAAAAAAAAAAAATCTTCCATTTGGAGACTGAATGGCCTGCACTTTGAAGCTCCAAAACAAATTTGTTTTCTAAACAGACAGCCACATGATCAACGGTGTAGACAACAATTGCTCGACTTCTGAATGACTGTCTGATGGTCCGTCCACCTTCATACCTGACGTACTCCTTTTTGGTATCCTCACTGACAGAGATGCTCTTTCCGTTGGGTTTCAGCTCATGCTGGATGATCTCTCCATAAGCATTGTGTTCAACACAGAAGGTGTGGTCCAGGACTCCAGTGATGTCATTGTCCCTGGGGAGAGAGAGAGAAAAAAAAAAAAACAGTCACGAGCTGGTAAGACTCAGTTCTTCGGGAGATGACTCATTCGAAAATCATGGCAATTAAAAATTAACACAAGTATGGTCGTTACTATGCTGGCTCGCTAGCGCTACAATATTCTAATACCTTATTTGGTATGCTTAGTGAAGTAAACATCCTACTTTTACACAGGCGCGCACGCACGCCTCCATCAATAGCATAAAACTGGAAGGGCTGGCAGTGACCGAGTTTAATGCCACGAGAGCTACCGACATTCCCTTTGTCAGCTATTGGGAGCTCACGATCTACTTTATGGGCAGCCCTGGTCTGCTGTATCCAAGTCAATGTTATGTATGGGCGGTTGTCCTTTTTACTCGTTTACTGCATCATTATACAGTAGGCTGTGCTTATTATTTCGCATATTATGCACAACGTATATGTGATTTAGCATAACTGTACTTTGCGTTGGTAGTTTCATTCTGTGTACTTGTTTCTACTACAGCTATCCTCATTTCTTAGTGCAATAAATGAATATAAAGACAGCGTCTGACAAAAAAAAAAAAAAAAAAGCAACAGAGGGCGCCACAAACATTTCATTCGGTTGAGATTTTGCTTACTTCTCACTGTGTGATTGGCAAATGAAATTACAACAATTTACATCAGGTATGTAAAGCAGCTCGAGTGTTGCTGTCATTGGCAAATGACTCGTATAGTAATAGTACAAAACCCATGTTTGGAGAGAAAGACGTCTTACAGGATCCAAACGAGACTGTTGTGGAGGTCGGGGTCCACAGACTCCATGTCATCCAGTGTGATGGGTTTTCCCAGCAGTTGCTTGTAAAACGGCAGAGTGAAGCCTCCGTCAATGTAGTGGCCGTGAAACACTGCCATGCCCATGATGCGACCCACAAAGTGGAAATAGGACAGGTGCTCCTGCAGATTGAACATGACATGGAAGTGTATGAGTCGTTTTATTAGGGAGGCGATTTGTGGCGGTTGGCCAGGTATGTTTTTCAGATTCCAATGTTCTTACGGGGTTGACGGCCGAGTCGGGGTTAATCTGTAAAGTGTAAATGTCGTCTCTGGAGTACTGGAACAGGCCGTAGTACGGGTTCAGCATCTCATGGGACAACAAGTACAACCAATCCCTAAGAAACACACACACACACACACACACACCCCAACGTGAAAAGCATGACATCTCTAATTACAGTCAGTATGATGTGACAAGAAAATGGTTGAGTAGAACAAAGTACCTTGCAACCCCGCCATAATCGAGTCCTTCCTCTCCTCTAAATTTGATCATCAGTCTTTTCCATAAATCCTTTGGTCGCATCTTCATCACCTGCCGGTACGATTCCTATGGTTTAACGCATACAAGTACAATATTATATAGTGCACAAAACAAAACCAGCACATCGCCAAAATAACAAATGCTCAACTTCTGTGTGATGTACGGGCTTCAGTAGGATTAAAACTGATTGCTTAAATGCTACTATGGTTCTCAAAGCAACCACCCCAGCGTCAAAATCGTTTTATTTTTTTTGTTCAAAATGTGTTTCCTTTTGACGTTACGTAAGAGTGGACCTCTTGGGGGAGCCCAGACTCCGGAGGCTGTCTCAGTAAACATCCCTGCCCACAGCGCAGGGCTCTGCTGCAAAGTCACGACAAGAGCTCCGGTGCTTTGAACAACATTTACATTGAAACACTTCAACGGAGCCGACCACGTTTAGCCAGAGAGATGAAGAGCCAGCACCAGCTGTTCAGGAGAACCAGAAAGTTTGTGAAAACACCGCACCTTCAACCGCATGCATTATTTTGTGATTTTTTTTTTTCTACAAATGTGAAATATGTATGGGTTGTGCAGGACATACCCGTAGGTCAATACAACTCATAGAAGCTGTTCTAAGTATGCGCCCTACACAGCTCGGCCCAGACAGACAGGCCAAAGTGGATCTGCGGTGCGGGTGTTTCACACTTCCACATCTGTCATGTCGAATGGGGATGAAGTCATATTTTTCATTGCTTAAACTTGAACTTGTGAAGTTACGTCTGGCTCAGCATCGTTGCCTTCATTTCCCACCCCGCCCCCCACCCCCCACCCCGAGGCTCCTTAGCTGCTGAAATCATCCAGAAAGAATGCCTCGCCTGCGTCGAATAACTGATTGGGAGACGGAAAAGGAACAGAACAACTGTGAGGTTGTGTGAGGGCCTTTCTGCTCTGCTTTTTCCTGGAAATCATAAAGTGGTTCCAAGTACTGGTACTGGGCTGCCCCGGGGCCCTTTTCTGGGCCACATCGTAAACGCTGTGAAAGTAATTGCTAGTAAAAGATCTTGAGAACATTCTATTGTTTGCATGGATGGTTTGACTTTGTCCTTTGCGAGGCATGTAATCAATGTTCTCTTTTCAGCTGTGCGCGTGCGCATTTGCACATGGACCATGCTCTCCGCCCAAGACGCCCACTAGCTTAATTTGGCCTCATCTCGGGTCCTACATCCATGATATTAATTAATAGTGATATACCTCACTAAATATAGCATTACCTCTGCGGAGTGCTTGGTCTCTGTTAATTACGTGACAACCGTTGTTGAATTGTGGCTTGTTTATTACTATGGTAACATGCGCTATATGTTACGCCCGCTACGTGTAATGCTTAATATTAAAAACAAAATGCAGGTCCCCTTCCCCTCAGATGAACGTGCATTTCGAGCTTTCGATAACGGAGATGGACCTTCACTTGAAGTCTTTCTTGAATGTGAGAGGGACACGTTTTCAGACATTGGTTGGCTCTTACCTCAAAGATCTCCTCACGGCACACCTCAATGCGGCAGTGGCCTGCTTGGGGTTGTTGCTGCGAGAGCTCCTGCCGTAGAATCTTGAGCTTCTGCACCAGATCTCGCTTATACCTGGGCACCGTCAAGCACTCGGCCTCCTCCGGCAACTGGGCTGGGGACAGAGTTTGCTGGAGGCCACTGGAACCTCCCTGGCCCTTCATCTGAGCTGGATGGCTAGAGAGAGTTGAGTTGGGGGGGAACACGGACAGTGGGACAGTTGGAGAGCGTTGGAGCAGTGGGTGTGTGCGTAGTATATGAGGAGGCTCGGCAGCAGAGACAAGACGACCGACTCATGGGTACTCATGGGTAACTCAAGTGGTAGAACTGCACATTTCTTCAGCATCCTGGGCAGTGTTAATAAGTTTACTCCCTTTTTTTAGTCAGAACACACCAAAATACTTAACAATTGGGTACAATGTTGTTTTACAACTACTGTGGTATTATCTGTTTTTTTTTTTTTTTTTTTTAAAACAACTTGTATTATGAGCTTGCATGTTGTTGTGTGTGAAATAACGGTCAGTGGACATCCTCACTGATTCTTAGTTCATTGTAAGAATGTCTTAACTTTTTATTATTGTTCAGCATGTGCACAAATTTGGAATGGCTTTGTAATTTCAGCTCAATTAAGTGTTTTAACGTGACTTTTTACCATCCGTCAAGAGACTACAGATGGAAAACAGCCTTTTGGCTGACTCGAGCTCTGCCGTATTACAGCAATGTTTATTGAGGTAAACGAGAGGGCCATGTTTTGCAGGGAGCTTGTATTGAATCGGTACACTTCTGTTTGGTTTGGAAACGCCGCTGTCGTCCTGTCAAAATATTTGGGAAAATATCAGCAAGTTAGCAAGCCGGGATCCTATCTGTCTTATAAAATACAGGTCTTGAGAAAGGCTGATGCTCGTTTGAAGACCAGTAGTCCTTATCATCCACTCCGTGAGTTTGAGCTTTTGCCTTCCGGCCGTCGGTTTAGGAGGACACAAAAAGGCTCCAGGTGTTGTGTGTGTGCGTGCTTTTTAAACTACTTGACAACTAGCTTTTAGGTTTCTCATGTTTTTAGTTACAATTTTTTTTCTTGCACATCCGCCTGTTGCATTTTTTAACTGATAACTGACTATTGGTGCTTTTAGCTCTGGACTGAACGTGTGTACGCAATCATGTGTACTAGTATAATGTTTGATGTAAATGATGTAAAAAAAAAAAAAAAGAGTCTGGGTTTTAGTTTTTCACATGTTATAAAAAAAAAAATGAGTCTGAGTTTTAGTTTTTCATATGTTACGGATAAGCGGTTCAGAAAATGGATGGATGAATATTTTTGACCTTTTTTAATGGGTACGAGCGACAAGTGAAGAAGAAAGTAGTGATGCGGACAGAAATAGTACTCGGTATGGAACTTATTGAAATGCAGCATATGAATCTTTGCCCTGGCTCACCTGTACCATGTGACTAAAACAAACAGATGTCAACATCATTCATTAAAGAATACCAAAATGTAGAAGAAGTATTTAGTCTTGCCTATGAATCAATATGATCTTCCTCTGCACGTCAAGAAGTACCAATGACTAGTACACAACTGATTTTAAGGCTTTAATATACAGCCGGTTACTTCTGCTTACACTTGCATAAGCGTATTAAAAACCAAAATATTGTGCGATCGACCCGAGAGGACCCCTCATTCTGCACTCACTGCATTATCCAGCACAAATACGGTCAGGCACGCAATCATGTCAATCCAGACTTAAACATTACCCCTTTTCCATCTTCCATCCCTTTTCCTGTCTGTAGCATACAAAAGTGGATGACCGAGGTGTCCCTGCCCACCACCAAACCACAAGTGGAACTTCCATGACCCAACCACAGGAGTGGCCACCCTTCCACATTGAGGTAACGTTGGGGAGGGCAAAACATTTCTTGTTTTTTTTTCTTTGTCACTCCAGACTCTTCTTCCACTGCTACCACTGAGGTTGTGTTAATTTACCACTCTGCCTCGGATTCATCTTTGCATGGTCAGTTCAGCAGCCGAAGCGCCGTCAAGCCATCTCTGCGGTGTTGGTGGTGGGATGCCTGGGTGGCCCTCATAAAAACATAATCCATCTCTCCATTCAACAGGACAACAGCCCACATTCTCCAGTGAGGAGATGTCGAGTCAGCAAAGACCTTCACAAGAAGCTACTGTTGTCTGCTGGGAAATAGGCGTGGGAGTCGGGTCAAACAAAAGGCTTCTCACCACGAGGTCGACATTGACACTTCAAAGAATGGGAAGCCTTCAAAGCACCCACTTATCCCGACACCTCTTGTACACTTGAGCGCGCCGGTTCAGCGGCTTGAGGAAGACGCCGTGGCCGTTCCAAACTAAACGGGTGCAGTGTTTCACGGCTCTATCCCTGTAGAATCAAGTCCACTGTTATTTATTTTTCTGGCAAGCACCGGGGCTTCTTGCATGTCAAAGACAGGATAGGACTGCAGCAGTGCAGTGCTGAAAACCATTTTAAGAAGGGGGGGTGGAAAAAGAGGAAACGAAAAGATGGCCTTTAAACAAAAAGGAATGTGCTGCTTTGACTAGGAGGCTCTAGAAGCATATAATATAGCCCAAATTCAGCACACTTCTTTCTTTGGACGCCACAATGTAATTTAAAATACATTTTGACATAGTTAATGGTCTCTGGTTTACAAATGAGGAAAGCCCTGCATATTTGTTGGTAAATACAGTCAGTCAATGCCAGTGCAGCAAATCTGAAAATTCACCACTGCGACAGCATGGATCAAATATGCTGACTGGAAAACAATCTAAATTCAGCAAACATTCATTTGAGGAGCCAGAGGATATTATTATGAATACTTCTGTGCATGGTCAAGGAAGTCAAGGAATGCAGGAATGAACGTTTACCAGACATGTCACCCGAATTTGCAGTCACCTGATCCTCATTCCTATGATTGACACTGAGCTAGGCCCGGTGAGTGTGGAAGATGCTCCAGCTGGGCAATGTCCTTCTTGGCCTGGAACTATCAGGTGCCTAGGGCATTGTGAGCAGGAGTGTTTTTGTGCCGCAACGCTCGCCTCTTCTCACTCACCGAATGAAGCCAAACACTGCAGGATTTCTTCGTAGACGTGCTGGTTGATTGTCAGGCTCACACTGACGGGGTAAACTTATAGTTTGGGTTTGAAATATATCTTGTGTGACACCAGTCTTGAAGCTCTTCTGACACACCTCGAAACCAGAAACAGCCTTTTCCATGGCATGCGGTTGTGCAGGGCAGTACGAAGTGTTGAGTGGGTGCAGTGGTGTTAAAGCCGCACCCACCACCATCACCACCCCACCCAGCAAACAGAGTCAAAAGGGCCTTTATGAATCAGTCTGCAGAGGGTATCAAGCTGGTGCTACTGCTTTATAAGAGAACCGGTGCAAACAATGTTATGGCTTCTGACTCTACAAAAAGTTGTGCGTGTTCTGCGAAATTATTTAATTTGACTTCACGGCAGCCATTTCCACCATATTGCATTTTGACACCTTCAGATCGAGTGACAAAAAAAAAACATGCTGGCAAAACGATGTTTCCATAGGAGCAAAAGAGGAAACTAAAGGTTATGATGACGAAAATGATATGACCTTTGCAACTGACAGAGGAAACACAAGGCTGATCAGAATTGACCATTTCAAAACATACCACCCAAACTGCCATTGCTGTGCCTGACCTTTTCATATATTTCACAGCTTCAAGATGCCCGGTGGGGGGAAAGAAATGATTGAGAAGAAATGTGCTCTATGTAGAAACGCACTTGAGACTGAGTAGCTTTCAAGGAATTCAGGTAGTTTGGCGCTATACAGTATGTGTATGCATATATGCTTTCTTTTGAACCCAGCCATTTAAATCTACAAGCAGATATGGTCAATTAATGATGGCGTGGGCGATTCAAACTGTGAAGGGTAAGAAACCTCACTACTCAAAACATCAAAGCAAATATTTGAATCATAAAAAATACCTGCTTTCCCTTGGGGAAATACCGGCTTTTGCCCACTAAATCCCGAATCCAACAAAGGCTAAAAATACCTTCGGCAAACAATGACGCAACCTCTCAGATATACACTATGTGCTGGTACATGGCAGGAAGCAAACTGTGTGAGAGACAGCATGGCAGACCACAGTAATGTGGCCTTGTCTGACTGTCTGACAAGTGTCTCACAACGGCAGTCCTCAATGGCCTAAGACAGATGCCAGACCCACTGCCAGAAATATGCTTGAAACAGATCCATGTCATGTTCATGTCCAGGAACACTGAGGTGTCAACAACAGGCACACTTGGTATTAGTTCTGTTCTGTATAGAACTAGCTATGGCATACGGAGGATAGAAAAATTCACAGAGCAGCAACAGTAAAAGTAAATAAAATGCTGATAAAATGGCAAGGAAAAATTGCCCTATATGGAAGGCGTTCCATAAAACATATTGTACTACAGATTTATGCATATTTGTTGCTCGATGAGGTTGATGCACGCAGCATTTTACAACATTTCATTCAAGAGCATTATGTCAGTCAAAAGTGTTCTTATGTACTGTATGGTATAAATCCCCATGCATGCTGCTGTTACTCCCGGAATCTCTTTTCCTGGCAACTTGTGATCAATGAACAAAACAGGAATATTTTGGCCTCCACTACAAGCACAATGCAGCATCCTGGTCCTGACAGACACCCCCATCAAACATATTCAAAAGTAATTGTATCTCAGCGGTGCTACACTTTAGCTGGGTCACGGTGTGCATGTGTGAAAGACGTATACCGGCGTTGGGTGAAATGTACCCAAATCTGCGTGATAAAAGACAGATGTCCTGACAGTGAGCCAGCTGAGAGGCTTATAACTTGAACAGTTTTTGGAACAGCACAGAGGGTGAGGAGCAGTACAGAGATTGAGGACAAGCGCTGATAAGGGGGTTGGGTTGATAATAATAGAGATGAAACGGTAAAAAGAAAAAGGCTCTCAAAGGACTTTGCAGACAGAAAGAGAAGACGAGCATCCATAAAAATTGTCAATGTTCATAAAAAAATGTATGCGGATGAACACATTTTTTTTTTCTCACACTATGCTCATCAGCTTGCTGCTGCTGTTCCACGGCTGTTACACTAACCATTTTGAGAATCTCCAAAAGGTAAATAGACCAGATCTCATTGCCAAAATTTGCAAGAATAAGCTTCGAATTTGGGTTTGGAAAAGGGAAAATAATGTCTGGACATTGAGATGTTTCACAGCGCTACCTGACTTAATGCAATGTACGCTGTGAAAAGCTAGCAAATTCCAAGTCAACACATCATGCATCTTTTGTCACTGGGAACATTCATCGAAATGCGGATGCTGAAGTGCATTTCAGTTAACAGTAACCGGTGAACAACTGACAGCCATTTTGTCTGTTAACATGTCTGTAAAAGGTAGACTTGGATGATGTCATGCAAGCAAGCCCACTCGCACAATGAGTGTGGATAAAGCTGAGATTTATAATGGAGAGCATCTGAATCTTTTTATTTTGACTAATCAGTACAAGCAGAGAGGGGCACCATTAGAAAGTATCTCCAGTTAATTTGGACTTTCTGGACCTAGTCTGGCCTCTGTTAGAGCTCCCCTAATAAAGAGCCAAGACAAGCAGCTAATGACGCAGACTAAAGAACATAGTTGAGCTCTGACTTCCATCCAGAGGCGGTTCACACGGGCGCACGCACACACCCGCGCACACACACACACACGCGCGCGCGCACGCACGCACGCACGCACGCACGCATGCGAGCACACACACACACACACACGCACAAACCATTCGACCAAATGGCCAGATGCTGATTTCCGGACATTCATCGCAATTCTTTTCAGGTATGTCAGCAATGTATATGTGTGTGTGCTCTGTCTGGATGCAATTCCTGAGTTCAGGCTGTGCACAATTCAGTGTGTACGTGTGCATTACCTGTGGTTAGTGTTTTGGCTCTCTGTGACCACACGGGATCCATTTGGACTGGGGCTGCTGGAGGAAAGCAGGAGGGGAGAACGCGGAGAGAAAAAAAGAACGGGAAGTGAGCCATAAAAGAGAAGGTGAATGACGGAACCGAGGGTTGAAGCACAGAAACAAGTGGGGACAAAGTGAAAAGAAGGAAAGGTGAGACAGGACAACATCAAAATAAGACTCAGACCAATATATGAGAGGAGTAAAAAAGGCAAGGAATTAATTACATTACGATGTCTAAAGTGTTTTTTAAGCAATTCTAAAATTACTGCATTACAACACTTTGTCATTGATACTATAGTGCAGCCAAACATAAATAAATGAATGCAGCCGCATGTTAATCAAAAGCATCACCAAAATTTTATGGGGCCATTTTTGTGCAACAACTCTTCAAAGTTATGTAGAAAGTGGTTTGTATTTTTGGCACAATCCTGCTAACTGTATCTGTACTAGTATTTACTGTTTCACTACGTCAAAATGAAAGCTTGTGCCAACCCAAGAAGTTAGCCTCATATTGAAATTACAATAAACTGACCTTATACACAGTGATATTCATGAATATGTCCACTAAAGGCAAAATATACATATTCTGAACAGAGAAGGCAGCTGGTTTGAAAGAGGAGTGACATATAGGCCATCGACTTTAAGGGTGAAAATCCATCTCTCTTTAAAAAAAAAAAAGGGAGGGGGGAGTTGGCTTACAACATCACTGATCTCCCACAACAATGCTGTCCTTTCATTCATTCATTCCAGAGAGACTTGATAATTTAGCCTCTAACAAATAAACAACACAGCCAATTTTGGCTTTCAGGTGCCTCTAGTACCGTTTTTACAACAGAATGGAATATTAATGAGGGTGGTTCCACCCAAATGACTGTGGTTGGCGGGCACAGGTCTCTCTTCAATGCTCTTCAATCTTAAGGATTGTTACATCCCAAAAGAGTAATGCGATTCCTGGTTTAGGGCGGGCCTCCAATTTAGCAGATAAATGTTTGGCTTTCTGCAGCAACACTCAGGTTAGAGCTGACTTATCAAGCCTGTGTGATTAAAGTGATGAAGCCTGCTCGCATTACAGGCAGGGCATCTTCTCAGAACCAGAAGAGTCCACTTGCAATCGATTTTACGCTCTGAGATTGAACCTGGATGAATGGAGGAAAAAAAAAAAAATCACAGGCATATTTTCAGTGTGGATAATTTTGATGAGATTTTGATTGTCAGGCTCGCATCGATGGGATATATCCAATTTTGAAATTATGCACATTTGTTTCTGATCTGAGGATATTTGATTCCATGCCTTTATTTTCCTCTTCATGCTGCCATGACACATATCAGAATTTTGCACCTTGGAAACAAAATATTGCAATTGTGTCACTTGTTACTTCTCACTTTTTTACAGATGGCATTATAAATTCTATTGTTACATTATCATGATGTATAAGCCACGTATACAACACCAGCCTGAAAAGGCTCGAGTTGGGCTGACGGTTGCTTCACTTACTTGAGAACCCGATGCAGGTTGGCAGACAGTCTTGGGTCTGTGAACTGGGTTGTTCGATTGTTGTGGTCCACAAAGTAGACGCGGCCGGTAGCAGTGTTTCTAATCTCCCAGCCTGGCGGCAGAGGACCGAGCTCCTCGCAGTTCACATTACTCAAGTCCCTGGATAACCATTAGAAACCATTAGGAGCAAGCGATACAAATGAAATGTTTATTGGTATTGTGTTTGTTTGAGCTGCTATATGCCGGGTGGTTCAACTAGGTCATGTAAAGAAAAGTGGCTGCATCTGAGTTGCCATTAACATTTACACAGGGCATAACGGTACTTATTATACAGGACCTTTTCAACTGACACTCAATAAGATCATATCACCATGGCTTTTAAGAGACCTGTTATCCCTCTGGCAAACTACTTGCTCCAGTTTCTTGATTCTTCTTCACTCTTGTACATCGACCGTGATGAGGACACCATAGCCCTTATGTGTGTGCATGCATGCTCTGTCCTTTTCCTGCGACAACGCATTAGTCATGGACACAGAGCACATGCCTCGCTGCACGCATCAACATACTTGGTTATTTTCGTAATCTCATCCACAAGGAACAAACGCAAAGGTGCCATCTATGATTTTGGTGTTTTCCACGTGTGCTTTGTCTATGAGCTGCAGCTGCAAAAGCGCAATGCTCATAAATGTAGTCAGCAATCCAAAATAAGTTGGAGAGCTTGTGGGATTGTGAGTACAAATCTTCTTGCAGGTGGTGTGGTCAGCTATTCAACTATATTGTTTCAACTGAAGAAAGGTTATTCCTTTTGCTGACACCGCTTGAATGTATCATATGCTAAAAATTCAACTGGTTAGCACGATCGAGCCTTTTCCGTTGCTGGTCCCTCTCTCTGGAATGACCTCCCACTGAACATTCGGCAAGCACCCTCGCTGCCCATCTTTAAAACCCGCCTAAAAACTCACTTGTATTCTTTGGCATTTGACTCAGCATGATTCACATTTGATCTTAGTTTTACTGTTTGGTGCCTTCTACCATCTTTGTTACTGATTTACAGTATGTTTGATTGTTGTATATATGTTAGTTACTCCTTGTACAGCACTTTGTATGCAGCGATAGCTGTTTGAAAGTGCTCTATAAATACAGTTGAGTTGAGTCCTCCTCACTGTGCAGAGGTTGTGGGTTCCATTCCACGCCCCGGCCTTTCTGTGTGGAGTTAGCATGTTCTCCCCGTACTTGCATTGTTTTTTTCTCCAGGTACTTCGATTTCCTCCCACATTCCGAAAACATGCAAGGATACATAAATCAATGACTCTAAATTGCCCGGAGGTGTTGATGGCTTTTTGTGAAAGTGTGCTCTGCGAATGGCTGGCTACCAGTTCAGGGTGTACCCCGCCTACTGCCCGAAGTCAGCTGGGATAGGATAAAGTGGTTCAGATAATGGATGGATGGATGAAAATAACTAAGGAAAGCCAACCTAGTCCATGTTCATGAATGTGATTTCTGACTGCATTTACCATTTGTGGATGCAATTCTACACAATCAACAGAAAGGAACGTGATAAGGACAAAGAGTAAATATGAAGATGATTGGCTACCTGGGAACGCGAGGGTCATGCCAGGTGCTGACTCCGGTCTGTGTGTGCAGGAAGTACACCTGACCTTGTTGAGTCGTTCTTTGCTCTAAGACAGAAAAACATTAACATTCAAAATGGCATTGAAAGAGGTGAGGGCTCTAAAGCTGCCATCATCTGGACAGGGTTGAAGAAAGTATGACTCATTTAGTGTACTTTGGGGAGGGAGAGGTCTGTTTAGAATTAATGAGACGAGTAATCTGTCAGAATCAAAGTTGACTTTGAAAGTCTTTTTTTAAAAATATGCCAATAATTCATTTTGAGGCCTACCCCAACAGGATGGGGACATTTAACATTTTACTTGGTTGGAGTCAGTTACTTGTGCTTCCTGTTGCCCTATTTGAAACTCAGGTATGGTATTTGTGTTTGGCTCATCATCCGCCGCTATTAATCAACACAACCAGGGGAAATGGAAAATGGAAAATCGTTGAGTGAAATTCATACTGACACGCACGCACGCACGCACGCACGCACGCACGCACGCACGCACGCACACACAAACAAAGGTGAGACCAAAGACACCAAGAAGAATTCTATGGCGGTGGGGGCTGCGGGGGAGGGGTGTGTGTCCATGTGCAATTTTCTAACAGCTTGTACAACCTCTGTTGTATCATTTTTCTGCCTCTGTAGTTCAGAGGGTTCAGTTTAATAAAAGCACGCCGACTTGCTGCTGAGCATCAGTGACTCATTTTGTCCAAGTTAGGCCAGCGTGACACACAAGAGGGAATTTCAAAGGGGGCACACATCCAACAGTGATACCCTAAATCATTTGAATACAGCATTGCATTTTGAGGAATAATTCATTTTGATGACTCTCAGCATTAATAATATTTTATGGTATTTGGCTTTTTAGGATCACTCCCAAACAAACAACTCTCATGCAAAAAGCTGATCAGAAGCATAAAAATAATCAGAACACCAAATGAGCATTCAGATGCCCATATAATCAAACCAGGCTGCCTGCTATACAATTTTCTGCATTTGTCAATAAGATCGAAACTGAAAATAAGGCTGTTGAATGAAAAAACGCCACGCAGAGACCAGCCGCAACTTTGCAGTGGTGTACAACTGCACTGCATTATACTGCAAAGTGTTACTAATATTTCAATGCTGTCGCAAAGCTAAACGAGATAACAATTTAGTGGTCACAATGCTGTGGCTGATTGCTGCTTATTCTTTGAATGGGCCAGACAATTCCAGACTATTTAGTGATCGCTGTAGTGAAACATTCAAGACCAACCATTCTCCTTCAACACCGTGTGCGTGTAAATGAGCACATGTCTCTGCAATCTCTCACCATAACCCTCGGGCAGGTCGGGAGGCGTGTGAAGGTGCGTTCGACTCATGTAGTTGCGGTGCCGTTGTGATCGCACCCGTCTCTCTTGGAGCCGCTGCTCTCCTGGTGGGCCACTGGCCTCTGCCCCATTAATAGGCGTCATCACTGGTGTGTTCTCATCCACCACACAACTCAAAGGACGCCCGGATGGGCTGGAGTACTCTGAAGCTGGCCTGGAAGGAACCAACAAGTTTATTACGCTGTTTTTAATTTCAGTTCTGCTTTAACGCCTACTTTCTACCTCAACTTCTATATGTGCTTCACTTTTAAAAATCAAGCTGCCTAAGCACAAAAACAGCATTCAATGTCACCAAAGAGTTTTCAATTTGTTGTGACATGTTTAATTGGTTGCGTGTGATGTGGATATACTGTACATTATGGTCAAACAAGTTTATGATGGTGCGTGTTTATTTGCACGGATGGTCGAAAGATGTGCAACTGTGTGCTGGGAGTGCAAGCATTATTTCTTGTCCTGGTGTCTAGACCAACAAGTGTGTAATTACGGCTTCATCATCCCTCGAAAAGCGAGATGCACTTTAAAGGTCATAAATATTTAAGCCATTTTAAGTGCTGAGCAGAAGGTTCTCACAAGACCAAGTCTTTAGCGTGTTTGTCAGCTACTTAAGAGCAGGATGTCGACAGCAGATATCTGATAAGCAAACACAAACACAGACTGGCTGGCTTACTGACACTTGTGTGTGTAACAAGTCTGACCACTGTCTGGCTATCCGCAATACGTGACGCCTGGGTTATCAAGAACCTCGGACCCCCTGTCTGCCAACCCACCTCCCTCCTCACTCTTTTCCTCCTTCCATTTCCTCTTCCTCCTCCCTGCTCACTACACACTGCCTCCTTTTCCAGCACAGCTTAGCACGAAGCAGCACAACAAATTTGCTCACTAAAAAGGATAAACAAAAATATGAAAAGAAAAACTATAAATAGATTAACCATCAAATCAAATGAAAATAAGCATAGGAACAAAACTTGATGACATAACAGAAATGTTTTTTAGTACTACCACAACCATTTCACTCACCTCACATTCAAATCAATCGGATTTTTGCAAAAAGATCATCTTCTGCTATGGTCACTATTCACATTTTTCTTTTTCATTTAACTGCTTACCTTGCTTTGTTTTGTGCTGTTCACTAGAACTGCGTAGAAAGTGCAGTTGAGGTCGAGGTACTTTGTTTGCTTACTCCCTGACGGCTCAGCTGATATGGTTCAAGAAGGAAGGCGACAGTCACTCCAGCAGGAAAATGGGCCAAGTAAAACCTTGCTGTTCGACTGGCTGGCTTGCTGGCAAACTTATTTTGGTGTTGGTGTGCATGTGTGAGCCGAAGTAGGGTGGGGTGGAGTCAAAAGAAGTCCACTTATTACCGACACCGTGAGGGGTAATTGTAACCCATTTCCATAAAGAGCCTCCTTATTGCTTTTTTACATTAGCATGACAGACAAAAGGTGTCGGTTGTGATACTATGTATTAATATTTCATTATTTAAAATCATACTGCTTCATGAGGTTAATAATGTTAAGTATATAAACCCAATTAGATCAAAGTACCGTAGTATTTTCATTTCATTCCATGTGGCTCAAAGTACAGTGCAAAAGCAATGTGTGTACCTGGTGGGTCTCTCCCATTGTGTGGTACGTGTAATGTGGTTCAGGTACTGTATTCTTCCAGACGCTGTTCTTCTCTCTTCCCATCTGTTTTACACGCAAATTAAGACAAGAGTCATTTTTTTGCCTTGCAAAGTATTACAAAAATGTAGTGTTGATGCCATACATTGCATTGCCTTCAACGAAGATCTAAGAAGTTGGAAACTACGGCAAGTTAAAAATAATTTCTGATACTGTTATGACACGCTGATAGTAACATTTCTTTCCAAAATTATTTTTCTTCAATTTATGAATGAAAGAAAATACATGTCCTAAGACACCAAACGAATGTTAACAATAAACTGCAACTCATCAAGGGACAGAGAACATATCTTCCTGCTGATGCACTACTCATAATACTGACCCATCGGGTAAGTCATTGTCAAAGAGACGACTGCAATCCACCACTGGTCCTCCGGTACCTATGCGGTCTCTTGACTGAAGACTTACTATAAAAGACCAGGAAAATGGCAGGTATACACTTGAAAGATTCACTCAGTTTTATGGCGTATACCACCTTTACATATAATGCCACTGACGCAAATGCTATATAAGGAAGAACAAGGAATGGACAGATTTTTCGTCAGAGAGTGTTTCTTTACCAACTATCTGTCCTCTGACTGTATCATTGTCGTTGGGGCCAAGCTTATTGAGGTCCAGTCTCTGATCTGCAAGAGGTAAAATGATTCCCATTAATTCGGCACCTCTCCCAATGTCACATTGTTTGATTGGAATGTGCTGGCGTAACACTCAAGAGTTTGACTAGCGTTTTTGAAATTTAAAAATAAAAAAAATTATATGTATTTGGCTCAATCTCATAGACATAATGAGCTGCAATTCAAGTCTTACGGTTTCTTGTCGAGCCAAGAATCAGTCCTACCAAGGACAGTACATATTTGCCTTTCTTTAACATGCATGACTTTGTTTGCGTTTGTTATATGTATTTGATATAAGCACTTGACAGCCTAAATAACTAGCAGCTCCAAGTTCCGAGAAGTGTCTAAGCATCTGTTCCGTATGCACATCTAGACTAAACAGACAGTTTCTTCCTAAATAAGAGGCCACCAATGAGACAGTACATTTATAGTTTGAAACCACAAGCGCTCACCGCACCATTTAGCTCCTAAAAGCTATGAAAAATTTTGCAGAACTGCACTGTTGTGTGACTGTAAACTTCCACAAAGGTGTGGATGTGTTTTTCTATCTGACCATTAATGTTGTGCGCCTCTGTATTTTTTCCGGTGTGCAACATGATTTAAAACAAAATAATAATCCGTAGCATCACAGTCACAGTTTAAGAAGCTATCTGATGAATGCTTGTGTGATCTTGAAGTGAGGTGGAGGATGTTGAGGTTTGCGTCCACAACAACGGGAAGAGGAGCTCAGTAAGATTTCTAGAAATCCATGACAATCCCATTTGGGGTTTTGTTTTAAAAACTGAAACTGTTTTGTCCAACTTTGTGTTTGAGTTGGATCACAAGTGAGATATGGCTAGGAATAAACCCTCTAGGAATCACAGAGATTCCAGAAATGTGTGCGTGTGCGTGTGTGTGTCTATGCATGTTTGCCTCTTGGTCAGACCACAGAATGAGTGTGGTTCGCGTCTACTGCACACTGGACAAGGACAAAGGATTTATGTGCAAATTGGTGTCTTGTAATTGCTCATGCTTCCTGTGGCTCTGATTAAGTATAGCGTCTAGAATGCTGGCTATACAATAACGCGGCCAGTCTGGAGCCGGACAGGATAATATAATGCTTGTTTCAGACAGCTGTGTGCAAATCTAAAGTGCATGTCCTTTGGCTCTGAGTAGGTGACAGTGTCGTCCTTGACTAGCACAGTGGGAAGACCGTTTTGTGGCAAAACTGATGCTGCTCTATTTTGGGGAGATTACAATCTGGACTGAATTAAACAAAACTGACGTAAAGTATTTGGAGTTGGCGTAAGAGGCTCTTAATCTTCCACTGCATTAATTCAACATAAAAGGCCATCAAGCTTTTCATGTAACAGTAGTATCCCAAGAGGTACGCCTTACTTGACTTCCAGTGTTTTAATGCTCTCCTTTTGAGATAAATGAGCCATCGTGCAGCGCATATGCATGGGAAAATCTATCTTTTTTGTTATTTTGTTTGTAACATCCACGGCAACGATGAACAACGTTGACTTTTTGACAAAGTAGACTTTAAACTATAAAATGGATACAATTATTTACAAAAAATGAATAAATAACAATAAGGCATAATTTTGTGTATAACTCGGACATTGCTTATGGATGTGACGGAAAAAATAGAAACAGGAGAGGGTAGTTTAAACCATTCACAAAATGCTGTAGTTTAGTGGTTCTGGCATGCTGTATGTCTGCGTGTGGGTCAATGTGAGTGAAAGCGCAAATGTGTATCTGTGTGTGTGTGTGTGTGTGTGTGTTGAAGGTGAAAACTTCAACAAACAAGAGCTCGGTTCCCTTGATTCAACTCCTGAAAAGTAGGTGAGAAGATCAGTGAAAACCAATTTCATTGACTGTATCGGTAGGGGAGGGGGGCATGTCGCGAAATGCCAATTTCATTCAATCGAGAAAAAATAGGCAACGAATGACCAATTTTCCAAAGTCAAAACTTACAGCCGGTGTCTTTAAGTCTGTTGATGGCGTTGGAGAGGAGGCGGACGCAACCCAGAAAACCCGCACCCTGCTTTTTGTGGATCTTCTTGTGGTTCCACACACTGATGGTGATGGAATCTGCCTTTCCAATATATCTGGAAGCAGGAAAAAAAAAAAAAAACATACGGAATTCTTAGGTCAGAAATTAAAACTAATTATGACACAACACAAAGTCCAAGGAAAGCTTTAGTACTTAGGCCTTCTTGTACTCATAACAAAAAAATGGATCATAATTATGCTGGGTTTGTGGTGTAGACTTTCAGGCTGAGCAGTAAGAGTAGAGAGAGAGGGGCAGAAAGACAGACAGAGACAAACAGAGAGAGACAGAGACAGAGAGAGATAGAGAGAAAGAGAGAGATTTTAAAGTAAATGTGTGTAAATGTGGTTTTGCTGATTTTGCACAGAGGAAGCCAGTCTAGTCAGTGTTAAAAGAAGAGAGGAAATGCAGACAATGTGCTTCACCATCATATCTGTGACACAGACAGATGTTTGAAATTACAGTCAACATCTCTTCCCTTGGGTTCACACTCAAATTCACAATAACAAACATGGCTTGACCCACAAACAGTGAACTGCAGCATGTCCGCCTTGCAATATGTCATCTGGCAAGGTCAGGTGTTCCCCGATGAAAACTGCTTCAAAATGTTTATTATGACAACTAAATCTCAGCATTTAGAAATAGTCATATTAAAAATTATAATTACCACCCCTGTGGCTTGTGATTCCGACCAGGATGCAATGGCAGGGCTTGGCAGCCTTGCTCTGTGCTGTGTGGTACACTGTGACCACATTGCACATTTTCCACTTTTTTATGACAAATGAATGACAAGTTATTTGCTTACGCAGGTGAGTTAATTAGCATCTATGCCAAGAACTGGAACCGGTGAGAGAAAAGGGCTGTGATATTAATTAAAGAAAAAAAAACATGGGATTAGACTGTTTAGGACAATTTAGAAATAGGGACAATTCTGAGTGTATATGTCATATTACACACACGGGGTTTGAGACATTTTTAAATAAAGTGAACGGACTATGTGCTTGCCGTTGATGCATGAGGCCATCAGAGAAGGACACAAGAGCGTCACTGCTGAAGCTGGAGGCTGGCTATGGGGGTGTGGCACACTGGAACCACAGTCCCATCTGCTTTCTGTGGCATGTTAGCCATTTCCTGAAGCAGAGGAAGAGGCCAGGGGTCGCTGGCGGGGGAGCACGCTTCACTGAGAAGGCGACGATCCAAAAGGGGGAAGAAAAAAATTACGTAAAAGTGGGAGGAGATTTGATGGGGACAGATGCAGTCGGTGACAAAGGAGCATTGGGAGCATAGTTTAAATGCCCGATTGGGGAAAATGGAGCCAAGCAGGGTGCCGTCTGATAAAGGTTAGAGTTAGTTCTCATGAGGACAAGTCAATTCAGTTAAGAACAACCGCATTCGGACACACCCAAACGGCATCATCAAACTCAAGTGTGTATTGAATTTGTTTATTTGGGGTTAATCTGTATCTGTATAGTTAAAAAAAAAAAAAAAAAACGAAAATCGAAATTTTGTTCTTTCGCCTTCTTTTTCTTTCAGTTAATGCATTACTCGCTATCATTCCTAAAACTGACAGAGAGCTAAAATCACAAAGGAAAGCCCAGACAGAGGTTCTTAATTATTAAAATAAAATGTTTAGTCAGATGTTTTAAGTGAATAAAATGAAAGTCTTGACAAAATTCTCTTCACGGGGGGCAATTTAAAATTCAAAAGCTATTAATCGTGTTTCCATAAAATAGGCAGAATTTGTCACCGGAGAAACAAAACCTTTCAAATTAGTTACGTTTTTTGTTTTTCCTGGTCAGTGGACATAAAATTAGAATGTGCATTGCATGCACATCACTGTCCTGTGAAAAACATCTGTTCATTTTTGTCATTTTTAACAATGTTGACGTGATAGGGTGTCCGCGTTTCAGATGTCCATTAACGTAAACATTTTTAAAATGACAAAAATGGACCATTGTGTTTTTCATGGTACAGTGCCAATACGGTGATATGGTATGCATTTCCCAATGTCTCACTCTTCCGGATGTTTTGTTCATATGTCACACAGCTTTCAGCAGTGAGAACATGACTTCATCTGCATTCCTGAAACACTTGCATAGCAACAAAAATACAAGTTCACATTCAAACTTTCGAAGACCTCTGTAATTGGCCGAGTATTGGCACATTTTTTTAATAGTTCTGGAATTAAAAATGATTTCTGCATTAAAAACCTCACCCCTAAGAGACTCAGTGGTGATTTTAAGCATGTTTTCTGACAGTTTTCAGTTGATTTTCAAACACCCACATTTAGGTTGAAAACTGCAACGTCAGAGGCAGAGAATGATCCCATTTCCCCATCATCGGACTTGTGCGTGTCCACACTTTGTTTATTTCTGTGTAATAATAAAAACCAATTTGCAGTGGTGAAAACAGCTTCAGAAGAAATCTATGAATCTATGAGCCTATTTGCTCGTTCTGTGGAAAAAAAGCCATGCCATGTAGTTTTTGCCTGTATTTGAACACCTGGATTTCTTTTTTAGACAATAATGAGTAAAAATAGGGAGGATGGATACATTTGAGTAGGCTTGTTTTGTTAAAAGTGCTATGCAACCGTAAAGCCAAACAAGAATGAAGAGGAAATGCCCGGTCTGTGAGGAATGAGCCACATCGCGCTGATCGATAAGCTTGCGCACATATTCGCCCGCTAAGCAACACTGGACATCGTGAAGTGAGTTTGTGCAGATGCATTTCTGACTTTCTAAGCGGGTTTAATAAGCTTATGCTTGCATGTATTGTATCACTCATGGCTTTGGAAAAGAGTTTAGGAAGAGGACATAACTCGGGATCGGTGAGTACCCATTCCAGGTATCACTATGGGTTCAATACCCGGTTTATTTCAAGGTATCGAGTACTCAAGAAGGGTGCCAATCCCAGTCATCAATCCTAGTCACTGGTGACTTCTTGTGGCCATTATTAGTGTGTTGGTACCAAAATGTATAAATGTATTTGCTAAATGCATTTCTGTATGGTTGTCAGTGCATTTTTCTCTTTAAAAAAATCCATCGATATCCATCCTCTTCTATGCCCATTAAGAGGTTATTTCTGAAACTATGAGTGTTTATCAGGTTTTTAATCAGAGGTGCACACAATAATTTTGGCATGGTTCTCAAATAAGCATCAGAGTTGTACTGTGCTCACTGTGTTCATACCATTTGAATCAGTGACATCTTTACAAAATAGTGGGTAATTTAGCAACGCCAAAAATGGATGGCTGGCTTTTTTTTTTTACATTTGTTTTGGATTTGGGGGACTGACAGTGACGACATATAAAATATGAGTAAACACGACCGCTTTAAAGTACAGTAGATGACTTTGTCCACACCGGCTATGCAGCAAATTTGGTGTCCAGTTCTGTTGCTGACATGTACACCATGGCATGAGGGCATATCGATTTTGGTGATGAAAAATGGCTGTTCCAGGTGAAATTAGTTAAATGCAAATTGCTCCAAAACTGACTAATATTGAAAATGAAAGCCAGTTCCATTTTCCGGAACATAAACACATATATAGTAAGGTTGGTGTGTCCTGAGAAAACACAAGTAGCATTCAAGTCTACTTACAGGTCATAATGTTGATTCCATTTTGGGTCCAATGTATTTCTCACAGTATCTGTAGAGTGGCACTGTCCAGAGCCATCCACTACCACTTTGGCAAAGGGATCGGGTAACCCTGTTGAGACAGACCAACAGAGCAGTCAGACAAACACTTTGTGGAGATGTTTAACAAATGAACACGTCTACAGCTTTCAAATGGAATATTTGCACTAATAAACATTGCAAGTATTTTAAAGCTGTGCTTGCTACAGAAACATTTGGATGTGTGTTCTCCTATGTTTACGGTCTGACAGAGATACACAGGTTAAACTAAGTGATTTGGAAGCTAAAATACCAACTGTTAATCTCAATCCAATTAAGGAAATAACAACATGACAATCTACTGCCAACAAGAAGTCCAAACTGACTCCCGGAGAGGCGAGAACTGCATACGTCACAATAACTACAGCTACAACTGCACAAATAAGGTCTTTCGACCATATGACATTTGATGAGGGATCCATTTATGACTGTGCAAGCCTTATAGTCACTTGTTGTTTCTTAAGGCTTAATAGCGAACAACTCTGGGTACAAATAAACCGCAGGCCAAACCTGTTTGGTAGCTTTATATGGGCTTCCCTCTTATATATTGTGTTTGAGCAAGAAGAGAGGAAATTAAGCCACTATAGTTTGAATCAAGTTTAAAGGAGGAACCTGCATGTTGGGTGAATGACATGCTACAATTCCAAGTCACAGCAGTTGGCAAAACCACAACTGACAAATACGGAACTTGTTTGGGTAGTTTTATTCTGTTGCTTGTTTTGTTTTTGAAATCCCATCTTCTCAAACGAATGCCAACAGCACAGGAGGAAATAATTATTTGTCCTAATTACCGATAAACAAAAGCGAATGCTGAATATTGGCAAAAGTAGCAGCATGAAAAAAAAACAAAAATATCCTGTGTCTTTCCTACACACACAAAAATGTTGCTTCCAAGTTACCTAATTTAGCGAGAGACTTCAAAATATAGCCTCTTGCCTCCACTGACAAGACCCACTGAAATGCACAAGGGATCTGTGGGACGAGAATAGCAACACATCAAAATGGGTTTTACTTACGGAAGAAGTCTTTCTTTGCCAGGTTCTTTGCACACAGGACTGCAAGAGAAGAACAAAGAAAAAAAATAAGATTTAAACGAACGGTGAAACTGAGTATCCATACACAAGGAGCCCACATCACTGTGTGCCCCTCTGTAAGACTGGCTAGACCAGGGATCTTCAATCTGCAGCTCTTTCATCCATCTGCTGTGGCTCTCTATGACTTTGGAAATGAATACATATTTAATTTTCAATTACTTTGTTCTTTTTTCTAAATTTGAAGGTTGTAACATTCAATTACGGTTCTTTTGTTGGTCACTAAAAAGACACAACAGAATGTGCGCCACCTGGCGCCAAGATTTTTTGAGTTATTTGACCCTAGGTAGGCAAACCATGGAGAGATCAAAGAAAATAAGTTTCTGAAGGAAACAGAACTTTTCATGCTACACCCTACAAGAATGCAATATTTATTCTATATTTTAGAAAATAAAGGAGATCTGATCATTACATGTATCCATGACGTGCTGATCTCTCTAAAAATTAAAAAGCATTTGGTCGTACCTCTGTATCTAATATATTATGAAAGCTCCAATTATAAAATTACTCACATCCAGTATCACAACAATAATGTCCGATGTTTCTGGCAAACCGATCTGTGCCAAAATTAGCAAAGAAATTCCCAAGTTATGATGAATTTATTGGCTCCACACATAGGTACCTCCATACAAGTGAATGGATAAGACAGCCAATTCCCCGTTAAAGATGGCGGCGAGGTTTGGATGTCCTCAACCAGCTAAAACCTTCTTCTAGTGGTTATGTATACAGTACATGGGAACAGCGCCATGCTTCATCTCCACCTTGCCCCGATGGAGCACAGCACTGTCAAATGCCAGCAGCAGCACTGTCCAGTAATTTCTTGGCTCACAGTGCAATTTAAGTCACTTTTCTGGAGGATCAAAAAGACAAAAATTGTCACACGCATTCATCAACTATATTAGACAGACTTTTAAACGCCAGCATGTGCAGTGCATGAGTGATGAAATGTATATTGGCGACAGAGGCCAACGAGCAATATCTCGCGTGTGAGGGCACGTGACAACTGCATGCGACTCCAATCAATGCGTGTGTGGTCGCATGAGGCACCAAAGAGGCTATGACTCGTCTGAGCTGCTCTTCCTTTCTCACTCAGAAATTTGAACAGGAAATACAAAATTCAGTTACTTTGTTAATATTAATGATGAACTATTTGACTTGGTTAAATTGAGAAAGAAAATCTATATGAAGGACGGACCAGCAAGCTAAAACTTATTTATATGTATTTACTGTTTTTATTTTTAATCTCTTGGCATGTGGTGTAGGGGACAGGGGAGGCTCTCTGCCTGCCCTGACCACACATCCCTGTTTGTACATGAGTCCCAAATATATAATTGTTCAAGCTGCACTGTTGATTTGTGACAGGTATTACATAACGCTCACATGCATTAGTGAGTCAATAACATCTTCACATATCTGTAACATCAAAATCTATCTCTCTATTTAGTGACAGCGTGGGATGGATTTGTTATATATAGAATATTCACCAAAATTTGTAACCAAGCACATTATTAATTATATTGAATGCCATTTTTCTCAGGCAGCTTGTAATGACATGCAGACTATCCTCAAATTAGGTATTTATGACATTATCAGAACCTAAATTATTCCTTATTGTTCCTTTAATCTTGAACCCTTTAATCTTGAACAGTCTCGACGACAAAAACTGCTCCATGGTGGAGACATGTAATACATACAATAGACATTAGATGTATCATGGTTGAGAGGGACACATCTTTTAAAAAAAAAACAAAAAAACAAAAAAACCTCATCATCATTTTGGGAAGCAACCCCATGTTTACAGCGCTGCAACAAGGAGATCTTGACAATGCCCAAAATGAGATAGCCAACAAAGAATCACACTGCAACGGATGTGGGACACATGTGAACACGTCTCCACACAAATCAAATTATACTGGCTGGGCCTGGGCTGGGAACACTAACCATCAGCTTGTCAGAAAAAAAATGACATTGCCAAAGCCGACAGTATGGGCGCAGGCCAAATCCGAGGCCGCCGGGACTGCATCCTGTGGGACAAGCAGACACCATGTTGTCGGCAGACGGGGGCCTACAGTCTTGGCACGACATTTATGAACGACAAAAAGGATCATTTATGTTTAAATGGGTCGTTAGCCTAGAGTTAAGTTGCATGATTTTCCTACTGAATTCCTTCATAGCCGGGCTATAACCAGGAGACTACAGTGTACGTGGCACTAACTTGGCGGCACAACAACCAGCCTCACTCAAGTTTCATAAAAACTAAACATTAACACACCCACGGGCGGATAAAAAGGAGCTACATTTATAAAAGTAACTTTTAGACAAATTGAAGAATAGTTTTAATGCATATTTTTTCCCCACTTATTAGTATTAGTACAGTATTATTGTCAATACCAAAACGTACTGTTTCTCCACTATATTGGGCTTGCAACTTTAACTACAGGCATCTATTGTCGCTTGCACAAAATATCTTGGTTTGGCAGAGAGACTTGTCACATGACTTTCACATATGACTCCATTTCACCAGTCACAGACAGCCAGGAGATCACATGACAGCACACAGTCTCTGCGGCTTCACAAAGAAGCCCATTTTTTAAAAAAAAAACTGATTTCTGTGAAACCTAGCAAAAATCTCTATAAACCTTACAGATCGGCTTCAAATCACCAGTGATCCAAGTGAGGATTAGCCATATAGACAACGGATGGATCGAGTATGAAACAAAGAACAGCTAAATATTGCACTATATGTGTTTGCCTTGAAATGTCTGCCTTTCAGCCTACAAGAACTCCATCTGGAACTTGAAAAATGTACAAGAGGGTGTCTCGGCCTATGTCTGCAAAATAAATTGCTTTTTGGACTCAAACTTTCCTCCAACCCAATCAAATCCATTGGAATTCTCCAACACTGCGTGTGTCTTGTTTCTTCTGTCTGTGTCTCATTTATTCATGCCAATGCCCCTTTTGACACCGAGTTGAGACACTTTGCTGCATTTATATTTTTCAAATACTAGTCCTAAAAAAATTAAGGTACCGTACAGACAGTTTTGCCCTCTAAAAAATATGAAATTGTTTTTGAGCAATGAAATGGATGCGATGCATTGCATTCAAAAGGAGAGTAAGTGCTAAAAAAAAAAAGTGAACTGAAGACAGTTCAAGTGCGTGTACAGAACACAGACATTTAGCTCGCTACACTACACTTGGCTAATGAGGATTATGAGATTAAACTGTGCACTGCTCCAACAATTCAGTCACAAAATGCACAGTGAGAAAGCTATCTTGTTGTCATCAATTGCCTCTGCACTTGTGCTGGCACATACCGGCAAGGTTAATAAACTAAACCAATTCCGGGAGTATCCCCGCTTTATGCTTTTATTGTTCATTACAACCTTGGTGGAAAAGTATTTTGTATTTCCTGACATAAAACTTAACTCCAGCCAAAGTTAGACAACAGGTTACTGAGTATAGCCTAAATGCTATTTGTGAGGTAAAGCCATTAAGACACGGGTCTGCATTATGAATGAACTGATGGCTTTTTCATACTTAAAACAGGAAAGGTTTTCCACCTCAGAAGGCACTTTGTTTTGTTACCTATTCAGCAGAAGTTGAATGCAACAGCAAAAAGAAATTAGGGCTGGACGCCGTCACCAGGCACAAACGGAAACTGGTTTTAATAAATACAACATTATAACAGATAGATGCATGGCCAAATGTTACTTAGTTTCATTAAGCCAGTTAATGTTGGACAACCGATGCCAACGTTTCTTATTTTACAGAGGAAACTGAAATACTACGATATATTATCCGTGGAGACTTGCGCGTGTTTTCCGTTCTACCCTTTCAGAGCCTAACGTAGAAGACATGTTTAAAATTTGTGACAAAATGTATACAATTAAAAAAAAAAAAAAAAAAAAAAAAAGGTTTCATAAAGTGGTCAATTGTTGCCGTGTGAGTAGGCATTGGGCGAGCCAGGTCTGGCAGAGGACCAGAGTCATTCCAATTCTATCAGGAAAGATAGGTCAACTGGTACTGTGTTAATGATCAGGAAGCCCTGGGCTGGGTGAAACCATATGCCTGTCTGTGGACCATCACCCAAGTCCTCAAAGTTGTTTACGACCCAGCTACTGGTAGTAGGCTAATGACAATAACTTCACAAAAGCCAAATCAACTTGGCTTCATTTCCTTTTTTGTCTGCTCTAAAAGTCACACTTTTAGCAAGGAGTATTGATTTTGGTTTCTTAAAACACACACACACACACACACACACACACACACACACACACACACACACACACACACACAAAAACTGTCAGTCTCAGCAGGAAGTCTACACCACTTAAACCGCAGAAGCCCGCCAGAGAGCAGCTGTTTTTGTGTCCTTTTAGCTTAGGAAGAAAGAAGTGGAACGGTTGAGAAAATCCACAATACGGTTCGTAACTCGGTTTTGTGGTCACGGTTTTCGGTTCGGTTCAGTATATGTTGACTCTACGGAAAATCAATTGTCATGTATAGCTAGGTCAAAAGTGAAAGAATACTTTTGGTTTGTTCAATTATGGTCAGGGACGTTTTCTACTGTTTATTTTGGTTTGGAAACACAATTAAATGCCTTTTTCCAGAGTTAACTATATTCATGTCTGTGTTATTTTATTCAGTCTACTAAAATTCTTTGAAAGAAAAAAATTTTTGCTTTTTTTGGAAAACTACCATTATTTGATTAAAATGTGATTAATCAAGATTAATTACAAAGCCTCTAATTTGACTTTTTTTTTTAATCATCGAGTCGATGTGAAATGAGAGAGAAATAATAGCCATTAATTTCATGTAATTTTAAGTAAGACTACTATATTGGAATACATAGTGTTGCCGGGATAGAAAACTATCTCTGGTGGGACATAGAATTTTGTCCATATCACATAGCTCTGACTTGGGGTATAAAATATTTTTTGTGCAGTGGACTTACATGGGGGACA